ATTATTAATAGAAAAGTGATTCAGATGTGCAAGCGTGCCTGGGGTGTGGCCAGGCATCAAACCCAGGGCCTTGTGCAGGCTGTGCAAGAACTCTACCTCTGAGGTACAAGCAAGCACTAGGTTACCTGTTATTTTCCCCGTAAATTTCAGCATTAACAAAGAGAAATAGCCTCTGACAGGCAGAAACAGGCAACTAGGAACGGACCTGTCGCTGCCAGGGTGTGCGAGGTTAGCCTGTGGCTGAGGCTGCATGGAGACCTGTCAGCTGGAAAAAGGAAAATCTGTCTCCTTGTGAGCTCACCAGATCTCTGCTTGGCATGTGACCTGATAGTGACACTAGTGAGGGTAGGGGGTGGAGGGTGGAGGGTGGGGTGTTTGCTTCCTATTTTCAACCCGTTTCCGCAGTAGCTCCTTACATACCTGTCTAGCGGCAGAATGCCTGTAGTTACTGCTTTATAATTCTTACAAAAAGCAGACAGATATACTGTCAGATTCTCGTGTCAAAGTCCAGTTTTCCTTTTCGGCCTGCACGTCTCCACCAGTATTGTTAGCTTTTTGACACCACTGATGGCAACTTGAAAAAACAAGAAGGAAACTGGAATAGGCCTAAGGGCCAGGGTGTAGCTCAGGTGGTGACTGCCTAGCAGTACATGACACTGGCAAACTAGGTGTGGCAGTGGCACATGCCTGTAGTCCCAGAGGGAGGAAAGTCCCAAGTTCAAGACCGGAGGCAGCACGATTTGTAAGTGCTTGTCAAGCAAGAACGAGGACTGGAATTAGATCCCAATAGCCTGCTGTGGGCTATCTGATCACACTGGGAAACTCTTGAGACTGTTAACTAAACTAACCTGGGATGGGGGGAGGGGTAAAGATAGCAACTAGTTGAGGAGAATCAGCCATAGAGAAGGTGGAGGAGCCAGGAATACAGATGGAGACCCACAGGAAGGAGAAGGGAGAGACTGAGAGATTCATGGGCCTTACAGGTTTGGATGGTGTGGAGAGACGCTTTCTTACTGGGTCTATGGTCAAAAGGGAAGGTCAGCTTTTTGGTTTCTCTGATCTAGCAGATTTTCTGACTGAAAACCCGACTCCCGCCCGAATCTTTATCGGTAAATAGAACAACTTAGATAAAAACAACATTTGCTGTCCAACACATGGCCTGAGATCACAGCAGTGGCTTCTGAAGCTGTCACTTCTGCAGCTGCTCCTCAGGTGGCTTTTCCCATCGCAGTATCCCGTCCATACCCTGGTCCCCGAGAGCCTCACAGTCCTGCCTCCACAGCCGTCACTACAGATTTGGTAAACACCTGGGTAGTTCAAAGAAAAATCTTTCCCATGATAAGAATGGGAAATATTGCTGGTCTGTGGTGGCATACACCTTTAGTCCCAGCACTTGGGAGGCAGAGGCAGGCAGATCTCTGTAAATTCAAGGCCAGCCTGGTTTACAGAGTGAGTTCCACGATGGCAAGGACTTTTTCACAGAGAAATCCTGTCTCAAAACATAAAAATCAAAACCAAAACCAAAAAACCCAAGCTAAAGACGGTTGGCCAAAGGTTATTAGAAAACCAACCATAGTTTACCCAGTTACTATACAAGGACAAGCAGACAATCCTAAGGTTATGAAGAAATGAAATGGACTCCTATAGAAACATTAGATTATTATTCTTTTGAGACAGGGTTTCTCTGTGTAGCTTTGGTTCCTGTCCTGGAACTTGTTCTGTAGACCAGGCCGGCCATGAACTCACAGAGATCTACCTACATCTGCTTCCTGGGTGCTGGGTTTAAAGGCGTGTGCCACCACTGCCCAGCTAGAAACATTAGATTTGAGATTTGTTTTGTTTTGTAGATATATTCAGGATTTCAACAGATAGCTGCTTTAATTTCTGAAAAGGCTGATTCTGTAATTACAAATTAAGACTGACAATGCTCCAGCATGTGTCTCTAGTAAAATGAAATTAAGTTTTTTTGCATATTATAACACAAAGCAGATTACAGACATACCATATAATACTACAGGCAAGCAGTTATAGAAAGGTATTACACAGAAACGGGTACTCAAGACCCCCCCCCCCAGAAATAGATTACACAATGCTTTAATAACTTTACATTTTTAAAATGCTAAAGAGAAAGGAATGACAACTGCAGAGACATTGGATAGTAGAAAAATCTGCTGAATTAAATCAGCTTATATATTTTAAAGACCTCGGAATGGAAATCACATGTGATATGTTGGGGGAGAGGTTTTGCTTCTTTTTCTACATGAGAAGAAGAGCTATGGATACCATCAAGATTGATAAGGATTAAATCTGGACAGGAGAGAACTCTTGATTAGGAGAGGCAAAAGTTCATCAAACAGCATGGCTATTTAATCTAACTTATAAGACTAACAAATGTCTTTCATTTGATCAGGTATGCAAAAATATTTTTTATTAAAAGTTAATACTTTTTCTGTTGCCAAAAACCATTTTGCCTTAACAAATATATAACCAACCAAAAAAGGAACTCCCCAAAGTTAGGGTTGGAACAGGGTTTTGTTTGTTTTCCCAGGAGAATAAAAGTATCCAACTAAAGAATCTAAAGGCCACTGGACAAATGAAATATCTGGAGGAGGAATAATCATCCAGAGAAAATGTCCCAAGAAAAAGAATACATTGGCCCAATGACATAGCCCACTATACTCACATTCCTGAGAGATAGGGTGGGTGGTTTTTGGCTGTTTAGTGGGTTAAGGTTGTTTTGTAATTGTTTAGGGGTTTATGGGGCTAGTTGAGAGGTGTTATTAGTCATGGTTAGGAAAGAAATTAAGCAAAGGACTTTAGATTAAAAAATCTTTCTAAAAAAAAGGGGGGATATAGGAATGATAAAAGGGTAGATTATTGAATCTTTTAGACTAAAAAGTAACTAGTCTCAAATATTTTACATTGGTATGGATTTTCGTATACTGATATAAAGTTAATATAATGCAACTCATTTAAAATATAAAGTTCTAGTCCTTGAAAGCTATTATTACAAACTGTTTAGGATAATTAAGCTAACAATCAAACTTGTAGTAAGGGTTTAGAATGTAGACAGAAATCAGCTTTATTTAGCCTCATGTATTTTAGATAGCTAGTCTTCAAACACACTTCAGAGATCTACAGAATATTGCATTCAAGATCTTTTTCATAATACAAGGTTTTTCATGACAGTGAGATAGGTCTGCTCTTAGCAGCACCAATTTAATTCAGGAAGGGTGATGGGCATCAAAGAACTTCCATATGGAGTTTGCTTCAAATGTGGCAAAACTAGCCACTGGGCAAGAAAAACTGCCCTTGCCTCGACTACTGACTGTATGCTGTCCAAACTGGACAAGCAGGACACAAGGGAGAAGACTGCAAACTCTGACAAGGTAGGACAGTCCTTCAAAGTTCCTGCTTCACAGAATCGTCTGTCAGATATTCTAGGCCAATGGGCTGAAGATGGATGCCTTAATGTTGCAGAGGAGCCTTGGGTGACTATGCAGGCAGTTGGCTGCCTGTTTTTTTTTTTTTTTTTCTCTTCCTGAAAACAGGGTTTCTTTGTTTAGCTTTGGAGCCTGTCTGGCAACTCTTTCTATAGACCAGGCTGGCCTTGAACTCACAAAGATCTGCTTGCCTCTGCCTCCCACCACCACCTGGCTGTCTCAGTCATTTCTGTAGTTTTGGAAGTGTCTTGCTGTGCACTGCTGTTTACTCAGGTAATATTATATCCTTCTCTGATGGGAACTGAAGACTAGGTGGTACAGTTATAATTTTCCATGTTACCAAATTCAGAAAAGAAACTCACAAAAGAGGTGCAAAGTGTTTAAGTTGAGAGACATAAAAGCTTAAGTTGTTTCTCGAAGGAAATGTTTGAAGGCCTAAAAAGGTATTTTTAGATTTGTAGTAAAAGTTATGGTAGAAAGTGGTTTAAGCATAAAAGTTTGGACTCATCAAGACAGGATGGATAATACTTTCTCTGAATTTGCCAAACACAACCTGGAACTCGATCTGTAGACCAGGCCTACCTCTGCCTCTCAAGTGCTGAGACTAAAGGCATGCACAATCAATGCCCGGCCTGATAATTGTTTTTACTGTATACAGTTTTACTATGTAAGAATTAAAACCTTTCCTTTTTACGTAGACAAAAAGTGGGAAATGTTGTAGTATATTTGGTTGCACTGTGAAACTCTGAGACTGTGTTAATAAAATTATTCTTGGATTGGAGGTGGAGCCAGCGACTAATTGACAAGAATTAGTCAAAGAGTACAGAGGACAGAAAGACTCGGAGGAAGGAGTAGGGAGGAACTTTATATATTTGTAGTAATTTCTGGTTTGGGACAGTGTGGAGAGACATTCTCCTGCTGCGTCTCTGGTCAAAGAGGAAGGTCAGCTGATGGCTTCTCGAATCAAGCAGTTTTTCACTCTAACACCTGACTCCTGAGTCTTTATTGGTTAAATAGAACAACTTAGATAAAAACAATAGCACTCACTAAGCCATGCTGTCTGTTGTAAAGCTGTGATCTTAGCACCAGGAAAGCAGGAACAGGAGGATCCTTGGGATTGGGAATTCCCGGAACACATGTGCATGTGCGCACACACATGTATATGCTATGCATCTGCGTTTGTGTACACACACACACACACTCACGAGCACAGCTAGGCATGATGACTCACACCAATCATCTTGGGAGGCTTAAACAGGAGGGTGTCAGGCCCTAAGTTCAATTCTCAGTATTACAAACATGAAGGACATTGCAACAGTGCTTTGTTTTCCATTCTAACAGAGTACCTACAGTTGGGAGCTGGGGATGTACCTTGGTTGGTAGAATAATTGCTTAGCAAGTACAAAGCCTTGGTTTCAATCCCCAGCAGTACATAAGCTGGGCGTGGTAGTGCACCCCTGTGATCTCATCACTAAGGAGGTGGGATCACAGGGGGATCAGGAGTTTAAAGTCTTTATGGCTACATGTCAAGATGCAGGGTAATAAAAACAAATCAAAGAAAGAGACAAAAATGTGCGCTTTATAAATGCAAAAGGGCAAAATCCATATTAATGTAAGCTAATAAATCAACACAGAATATTTATTACAGAACTATGAAGACCTACACTTTTTTGGCAGATGCTAGATACTTGACCAGAAAGTCTTTCAGTTTGGATATATGCATCATTTCCTTCATCGTGGTGTCTCTGCTTCTCAGCTGGATCAATCCATTTTCCAAAGTAGTCTCAGTAATCAGAACTGTGAAGAGGATGCTCATTTCATCATACCTGAGCAGCAGTGAAACATAACACATGAGAACCCACACAGACCTCACACCTCACTGTCTGATCCCATAAAGTCCAAATCACTTTCCCTTCAGTCAGGCCCTGAGAGTGGGACCAAATCACACCTACAGAGCACTGAGCTTGCAGGCATGAGCTACCCTGCCTACAAAGTAAAAGAACAAAACACAAACTCTCCTAATCTTAGATACATATTCAACGTAAAAAGCTAAAAAAAAAATAAGAGGATAAGTTATTTTATTAAAAAGCAGAAATGAATAAAATAGCAAGCTAGCAATACTAGAGAGAATTCAATTATAATATTGTTTTAGTAATCCAGACAAAATGTTAGAGACCTTAATCTGGGTAATGGCTGGGAAGCCAGAGCAGTGTGAAGGTGAGGTCTATACAGGAGCTAGGCATAGTGGCTCACACCTATAACACTCAAGAGGCTGAGGTAGGAGGATTCCCATGAGTTTAAGGCCAGCCTGTGATACAGTAAAATACAGGGTCAGCCTGGGGTACAGTGTAAGACTCTGTATTGAAAGATCTTGGGGGTACAAGATCTGGCACTGCCAGACAGACAGAAATTAATTCAGGTACACCCCTGTACTGGATTGGGGGGGAGCAATAAAGATGCCTCATATTAAGAATCCCTTGTCAAAAATACTTAGACCAGAAGTGTTTTAGAGTTAAACAAACAAAGCCACCCTGAATATTAAAATCTATATAATTAACCATGTAGCTACCAGAAAGGTAGGCCACCTGGATATTCTCCAGTAGGCCAAGAGATACACAGATCAATAGAAATGTGTTAATAATTAAGAGAGCTAGCCAATAAGAAGCCTGAGCCACGAGTCAAACAGTTTATAATCAATATAAGCCTTCTTGTGTTCATTTGGGACTAATGGCTGCGAGACTGGGCGGGACAGAAACTTTTGTCAACACACCGGTGTACTTGGTACCCAGGGGAATCAGGAGGCCATGGATGCCTGGAACTGCAGTTATGGGGGTGGGGGGGTGGGGGAGGGAGTGTGAGTCCCTGTGTGGGTGCTGGAAGGTCCTCTGCAAGGACAGTAGGTACTCTTCACCAATGAGTTATCTCTCACCTGTTATTCTTTTTAAGGATTTATGTTTCACTTCTATGTATGTGTGTGTTTATATGTGCATGGCTCATGTATGAAGACGTTGTTAAATCCCTGGAGTTGGCAGTTGTACGTGAATAAGGGATGCAAGCTGCTCAACATGGCTGCCTCTCCAGCCCCGTTTTAGTTTTTGGTTTTTCTGAGACAGGGTTTCTCTATGTAGCCCTGGCTGTTCTGGAAGTCACAGAGATCCACCTGCCTGCCTCCTGAGTGCTGGGATTAAAGGCATGTGTTACCACTGTCAGGCAAACAGCCTATTTTTTTTTTTTTTTTTTCCCCAGACAGGGTTTCTTTTTTCTTTGTATTGCTTTGGAGGCTGTCCTGGAACTATCTCTGTAGACCAGGCTGGCCTCAAACTCACAGAGATCCACCTACCTCTGCCTCCAGAGGACTGGAATTAAAGGTATGTGCACCAAAGCCAGACAACCAGTCTCATTTTTAAGATCATATTCAGAAGAGATTTGTTTCTATTAGTATAATCAAACATATAATCAAACTAAACAATGACAAGGAAAATAATTCTTACTTGGAATAGAGTTGCTCTAATGAAGACTGCACAGTCTCCAAATAACCAGGCCATACAGAAATCCCATTCTCTAGAAATTCATTAAGTAGCCCTTGACAAACCTGGAGGAACAAAAACAGATTTGAAATATGAAAGAGAAGTTCTTGTAAAACTATAAATCTTCAGTCTTTAAAATCCATGTAAACTGTTTACTTTTACTGTTAAGATCTTATACACTGAAACGCCTTACTGAACTACGTCTCTAAGAATGAAGAGCCTATGCAATGCTAACTGAATATTGACTGCAAATCTTCCAAAAAATAGTTTTATACTAACCAAGAATTATCACCACCATTATCATTTAAAACATGCAAGAGAAAACAAAAACTCTAGTGGTTGCAAAGTGTTAAAGTCATGTGACAGGTGATAACTGTGCCCTAGGGGTTTACTTCCACATCAGGAGAAGGAAGGGACAGCCTGAGAAACCCCCCCCCCCCCCAATGGCATTCTGGAAGTCAGTCACACAACTGCTTCCCGACAGCTCCTAGCGACCACCAGCAAGATGGTGGGCTGAGTGGGTAAAGTGAGTTCCATTCCCAGCATTCCCAGGGCCTGGACCCACATGGTGGAAAGACAGAGCCACCTTTCAAGCTGTCTTGGCCCCCACAGCACACTATTCTGTTACAGGTAAAATTTTACAGTCACGGCAATTAACTTTATTGAACCTACCTGTCTCAGCTCTGCTGCTGGGCCTTTCCCCACATCCAAAGCTACCTTAATAGGGGCCAAACACGGGTGGAGTTTAAGCACCTGGGGCAATTAAGAGGCAAGAGGCAGAAGGAAAGCCACAATTAATGCAATGAGGGGGAGAAACGAACCAACAAACACCCCCACATAATTTTAGTTTCCCGAGTCCCTGTGAAATAGCAAAAGCACCTTTCGCTGAAAGCTCTTCTTCCTTGCAAAGGAGTTCTCTGTGAGCTGGAAGGAATCGTAGATGTAAGCCAGCACGCCTACGTCTAAGTCCCCATTCATAGACAGAACACAAGGAACCACATTTTTCCGACCATCTCGACCCTTCATAGAAGAGAATAAAATAAAGTACCATTGAGCAAAACTTTTTTTGTGTGTATGTTTTTCAAGACAGGGTCTCACTGTACAGCCCTGGTTGTCCTGGAACTCAGTGTGTAGGCCAGACTGGCCTCAAGCTCAGAGATTCCCACGGTGTCTGCCTCCTGAGTGCCAGGATTAAAGGTGTGTGCCATTAACGCCCTGCTAGCAGAACTTTTTCTTAAAGTTACATGTTTTAGACTTAAATGGTAAGAAAAAACACACACACACACAAATTCATTTTATAAACCACCTACCTCATGCCAGGACCACACTAAGCATTGGGCTCAAAGAAGATGACCCGGTCAATCACCTGTAAATGTCACCGGGAGGGGGCCTCAACCTCAACCTTTTCAAAGCTCGCTGGGAGAGGCCTGCTACGCGGAAGAGGGACATCTGTTTAAACAGCTCTTTAGTCCCATGTGTGACAATGGGGGGGGGGTTGTGCCAAGCACCCGCTGTTCCTTCCACCACGTGGGTCCTGGGAGCCCACTCAGTCGCCGAGCCCAGCAGCCCCAGCTCTGCTGTCTCTCAAGGCCTGCTCGTGTTTTTAAGGCAGTGTTTCACCGTGTAGCCCTGGATGACCTTCACATCTGTGTCAACCTCAGGTGTTCTGGGGTTAAAGGCATACACTACAATCTAGTTCCTGGATTGACATCCACTAAGACTTGGATTTCATCCTAAGGAATAAAAGAATGTACACTGGACAGGCCTGGAGAGATGGCTCAGGGGTTAAGAGAACTTGTTCCTGCCGGGTGGCGGCGGTGCACACCTTCAGCCCCAGCACTGGAGAGGCAGAGGCAGGTGGATCTCAATGAGTTTGAGGCCAGCCTGGTCTAAAGAGTGAGTTCTAGTACAGTCAGGACTGATACACAGAGAAATTCTGTCTTGAAAAGCCATAAAAGAGAGAGTACTTGTTCGTGCGGAGGACTAGAGTTGGATTCCCAGTACCCACATGGTGGGCTACAACCCTAACCCTAGTTCTAGGGGATCTGATGGCCTCTTCTGGCCTCTGGGGCACTGCATGCATGTGGCACACGGACATACATGCAGGCAGAACACCCACACAGTAAAATAACATAGAATAAACATGAATATGCATTAGAGAGACCAAGTTAATCAAGCGATAAAAGATAACACACTGATACCCATTGATGTTCCCTACCTAGTATGTCCTAAGAAGGGCAGAGCTCCACGGTGCCCCCACCCCCATCATATTCCTGGCACAAATGCACAAATCAGAAAACTTCTCAAAGTTCTGCTCGAATACAAAGTAACTAGTTTCTTCATAAAAGCCAGGAACATAAGAATGGGAAAGACAAAAGGAACTGTTTGTCTGGAGAATAGAGACAGGACAACCCCATGGAACATGTTGCCCTGGAATGGACCCTGGGCCTGTAAAGCACATTATGGGGCCGGTCACAGGACACCATACAGGTATCCTTCAGGGTTCAGAAAATGGAGAATGTGGTATTCAGGGTGACACACACCTGTAATGTAGACGCACTCCCAGGATATGTGTTTAGGAGTTCTTGATCTCCTAGGTTCCACAGCGTCTCTATTGGCTCCTTTCCCCAGGGAAAGCTGTAGTAAAGTTTGCTTCCCTTCCGCCCTGCTTCATCCTGACAGTCGGTGCTGCTGAAGTTAGATGGACTCATAGCGAACTGCAAAACAAAGGGTCTTGTTGATTTAATGAGGTGCTAATTTACTTGTATTTCGTTTTCTGAGCCTGGGTCTCTTTATGTAGACCTGGCTGGCCAAAGATCCTTTTGCTCATGCTTCTGAGAACTGGGATTAATTTACTTCTAGTTCCATACTTATCTCTGAGAATTAAGGTGGCCTGAGACTTTTATCCAGCAACAGGTTGAAAAGTAGTTAAGTCCTGTACATAAAGGCTCAGTCACTGGCATCTGAGCTCAGCATATCTGTATCAAGGGAACCCTGATACCCAGTGGAACAATTAGCACCATTACTGTATCTGTTCTTATAGCTTTTACAAATTCAGCACAGCAGTGTCCAAGTACAGCTCAGCAGCAGAGGGCTCGTCTAGCACATCCTAGGCCCTTGGTTCCATCTCCAGGACTTCAACAAACTGAAAAAACCAAATAGGTGGGCTGTGATCCCAGCTAAAATAGGAAGGTTGCCACTAGCTTTAGGTCAGTGAATTCCAGGCCAGCTTGGGTTAGAGGGACACTTTGTATCAAAATAGCCAAAAATCAGGGCCACTGAGATGGTTCAGTAGTAAGGTGTTTGCTGCTAAGCCTGAACATCCAAGTTGAATGCCCAGAACCCACACAGTAGAAAGAGAATTAACTCCCTCCCCTAAAGTTGCCCTCTGACAGGCACACGTTTTCCATGGCATTTGTGAGGATGGGCTTGCCCAAAATGAATAAAAACAAAGCAGCATCTTTTTTTTTTTAACAGATTCATTTTTATTTATGTGTATCTGTCTGTGTGCCACATGTTTACGGATGCCTTCGGAGGCCAGAAAGGGAGTCCCATCCCTCAGATGGAGGCGGAGTTATAGGCAGTTGTAAGCTGCCTACCTGGGAGTCTGAGAGGCAAACTCTGGCCCTCTGGAAGACAACTGAGCCATCTCTTCAGCTACACAATACTTGTTATTAATTTTAAAGAAACTAAAACTAAAACAAATACACACACAAAACCCCACAGCTAACTCAAGTTCTATTTATAAGCCAGGTGTGGGGTGCATGCCTGTAAGCCCAGGACTCAGGAGGCTTAGGCAAGCGAATCAACATGCTGGGGATGTTAGCACTCTTCATAATCCCAGAGCTCAGAAAGGTAAGAAGTTCAAGGTCACCCTGGGCTACACAGGGAGCTTGAAAAAAAAGAACAAAAAGGTAAATAGATCAAAGAATTCAATATTAACCAATTATTGCAGTACCTTTCTCCACCACAGGAGCCTATGCCGCAACCAGAAGTCAAACCACTGGCTGGAACTCCTTGCAGGAGCGAACCACACCAATGAAGCCTCCGTCTTTTCACCAACGCTTTGTATGTTTAAAAAAAAAAGAGAAAGTTAGCTTTTATGGAGATTATATGATGGGGCCCAAAGTGGGAATGATTGACTCTTGATTATTTAAGTACCAAACCAGGTTATCTGGCATCGCATTTTGTACCTTTTGACACTGCTGGGTATCTGTTTAGTGTCCAAAACAGGATGGAAACACACTCCAATCTGAGCAAGACCATAGGGTAGCCTTCTGTTTACCAGCTCCAGGCCATTAACATAGTGCTCCAAGGCACCTGTTAAAAAAATGAGCCAATCATTACATGACTGTTTCACGTACGTTCACTGCCAGTGAACTCTGAGCCACGAACACCATTTAACTTTAGGTACTGACTCTTGAACTTTCTGGTGTGAAAACTTTCAATCTACGAAACATAGAAACAACAGTACAACATGCTAGATGTGTCGAATGCACTCTCGTTCTGACACTGGCTGAGGCAAGAGGACTGACTGCACCACTTTGGGACACGGCCTGGACTACATAGTGATTTCAAGGCCAACGTGGGGTACGAAATGAAATCCTGTCTCATGAGGAGAGACAAAAGGATGAAATAAAGTCTGTCATCTTTGAAGAAAAAAGCCAGGTGTGGTGCTATATACCTGTAATCCCAGGACTTGGGAGGTAGACAGGAGGGTCAGGAGTTCAAGGTCATCTTCTGCTGCCAGGAGACCCTGTCCCAAATAACAAAAACAAGAAAATCCTACCCCAAACCAACCAAATGGCACTATATGCTCTTTACCTAGACTTGTCAATCATTCACTCCAAACACTGCTATCATTAATTTTCTAAAAAATATTCTCTATAACTATTATTCAAATATAAACTTAACCACAAAAGAATATCACCTAACATACAGCTGTTATATTTCTTTTTTTGGTATATTTCTTAATTCTCACCAAACCTCAGGTTTTGCTTTTCTTTTTCTGGCTCATTAAGATTCATGGACTGTGTGTTGACTAGGGCATCTTCTATCTGTCAACCAAGAACATTTTCTGAAGGCTTCAAGGCTGCAGAGAGGCTGTACAACCCGAAGACCTGAGCTCTGTCTCTGGAGCCCATCTGGTAGGAGAGAATTAGTGTCTAAAAGCGGTCCTGAATTCCACGTGTGTGCTGTGGCACACTCTTTATAAACTATAATACATATAGTTTATAATATATAATAATATACATATAATAAATATATTTTATTATATATAATAATACATATTATATATAATATAATATATATTATATATTATTAAAATATAATAAAAATAATTTCCTGTCAATTTTGCTTTTTTGTTGTTTTGAGACAGGGTTTCTCTGTCCTGGAACTGGCTTTGTAGACCAGGTTGCCTCGTACTCAGAGAGATCCACCTGCCTCTGCCTCCCGAGTGCTGGGATTAAAGACGAGCGCCACCAACGTCCAGCATTCTGTTTTTATTGAGACAAGGTCTCACTTATGTTACCCATACTGAACTGAAAAATTGCATTTTTACAGTCTGTGCAAGAAGGTAGAGATTTAATTTAAGAGGCTGGGAGGTAAAAGAGGTTGATGTTTGGGGGGACATGGTAAATAAGATTATTTAATGCAACCAATGTGAAGAATATGAAATAAAATACTACAAATTAATCACTTTTTTGTTGTTTTGTTTTTCCGAGACAGGGGTTTCTCTGTATGGCCGTGGCTGTTCTGGAAGTTGCTTAGTAGACCTGGCTGGCCTCGAACTCGGGAGATCTACCTGCCTCTGCCTCCCCAGTGCTGGGATTAAAGGTGTGCTTCAACACTGCCTGGCTCATTTTTTTAGAATTTGTACATCATGTTGTCTTCTACTTTAAAGAAAAAGATGGGGGGGGGGAGGCTGAAGAGATAGCTCAGCAGTTAAAGAGTACTGGCTGCTCTTCCCGAGGTTCTAAGTTCAATTCTGAGCAACCACATGGTGGCTCATACCTAAAATACATAAATAAATAAATATTAAAAAAGAAACGAAGATGCATACAAGTCATCTGTAAGACTTCATGTTCTAGATGGCAAGCTAAAAAGTTACCTAGCAAGGAAAAACAATGACATGTTGACAATTTCATGTATGTAAAACTGAAGAGTAGACGAAGTCTTTGAAAATTCGTGCCTTAATTAAGGTCCTAATTCTTTGGGATTGAGCTGTAAGGAGTTGCTCTTCAGACTGAATGCTTTAGCCATTTCCTCAGGCATGATGGCATGGACATTTGCCTGAAGGTGGGTCACCCTGTTCTTTAAAAAAAGGAAATTTGGTCATTTCTTTCCCTGGAAACCCAGGGCCAGTTGCCTGCAAATTCATGGAAGGCTGCCTTTCCACCCCGAACCTGTTCAGAAGCATGAAACGCGAAGAGCCATACCGTGAAGAAGAGTCTCCCGTAGTTTCCCAGAAGTTTTTAATAAGTTCTCAAGAAATGCCACTAGCTGTTCCTTACTCAGCTCTTTGTCTTGCAAGATTTCGCGTATACATTCTGGAGAAACTAACCTGAAGGCACTGTCCCCGGGCTGCGAGGGACCTGGCTCGTGGTGGAGGGCGTCCACCGGGAAGACCTGCTCTCTGAACACCACCATAGAGGACCACCACTGTGAGGCTAGGTTCTTTCGTAACTCTACACCCAAAGGTCCAAAGCCCGGGTGGCACCCGCTCAGGAGAGCAGCCGGGCTGAGCTGCTGCGGCGTCCCGCGGAGGAAGTGCCTTCTTCGGCAGAGGTCTACCAGCGGCTCCCGGTCCTCGGCACGCTCGGGCCCCACCAGCTGCTGCGGCCCATCTGCAGGGCCCGCACACCCGGAGAGCCAGCACCTGCAGGCGCTGCGGCAGGCCCGGGCCGCGCCACCCGAGCGCATGTCCTCCGCAGACGGGAAATGCACGCCTCAGATGGGAAGTCCAGTCTCAAACCTAAGGCAACACCGGACCCTAGGGCGCAGGCGCAGCGGAAATGAACGTGCTTCAGGCCGCACCCCCGGAAGTGCGTCACCGCTCTGGCAGCGGTTTCCTTGGGCGTATCCCGGCCTCCGCCTGCAGTTGTTTACTAACTTGGGGAAATTTTCCGTGTTTGGCAGCTCCACTCACATCAGCTTTTCCCACCAACCTCTCACGTTTTCCCGATCTGCCCAGACTACTAAAATGTTGTTCGGGATGGCGCTTGTGTTGAGGCTTAGCATTTAATCTCCAAGGGAAATGCATTTACTTCTCACCTCTGTGGGCAAACATGCTAGTCCTTTAGTTTAAACCCCAATGTGCGCCCGACCTATCGTTGGCAAATACTACCACTGATGGCCCACTTCAATTCAGTTCCCCCTGGGTGTGGCTGGAGACTCAAGATTGTGGCCTAAGGAACAGCAGCTCTTAAAAAGGCCTTTCTGAACACCACCCCCAACCAGGGTTTCTGTGTAACAACCCTGGGGACCAGGATACATACACCAGGTTGGACTTAAACTCACCAGGGAGCCACCCCATCTTTGAGTTTAAGAGGGAGTGTGTCTGTGCTTAGCTTCTTGAAAGTGGCCATAGATCTCTGAGAGATCAGTAAACCTAGCAAAACAAAAAACCATGCAGAGAAAAAAAAAAAAAAAAAAAAAAGAGCTACTTGTAAGCCTAGCAGTTTAGCAGTTTGTGTAACCTAAGTGCAAGCAAGTTCATAGGGTTAGGGAGTGCAGAAATGAGGCACGGGCCAGGTGTGGTAGCTCACTCCTTCGTCTTTAGTTCCAGCACTTAGAAATACAATCTTTGACTTCAAGGTCAGCCTGGTCTGTATCAAGTTCCAGGACAGCAAGTGAGAAAGTGGGATGTGGTGTGGGAGCCCCCAAACCCCAGGTAAGATGGCTCTACGCAAATAAATAAAAGGAGAGAATGGGGAGAAAAACCACATTTATTAGTTAAGACAACCACAGGCTGGACACAACACACATGCTAAAAAGTGGACTGTCTTTTAAAACTTCAAAGGTAACTTTTTCCAAGCCCCACAATCATTTCCATATTTACAAAATAAAGGCCCACATTAAGACATTGAACAGTAAAGTATGTAATAAATGCTCCGATCTACCCCTATAATTAAAAATCATGAATCTGGCTAGCCATGCCATTGAAAACCACTCAAGGTACTCAAGGATGAACCAGTTTTCAATGTATCAGCCCTGGAAAACATTTGATGTTAATCCCAGCTCCCACCCCCAACACAATCTGTTTTACATTTTATAAATAAGGAATTAACATCAAAGCCGGTTTTAAAAAAATTAAATGAAATTTCTTTAAGACTTTTCTCTCTGGGCAAAACACCATTTTCTGGGAAGACATTTAGACCTACTCATTCCCATTCTGAGATAAAGCGGTTGGCAAACCCACTTAAATCTATGGCTATCTTCTGATCTTTCTAGCAGTTAGCACATTAAATATAACCTGGAGAGCTTCTCTTAACTGTGCTTGTGATTATGTTGCCTATTAATTTTGAGGTTTTCTTCCTTGTGTTGGAGTATTGACTAGTCTATAATCTGAAGACCTCTACAATGCCCTGAAAATAAAGTGGAGACATTCCTGACTGCCAGTGTGGCTCTAGGACAGGAGCCCTGGCAAGTCTGCAAGGACTAGAACCTACAAAGTAAAGCTGCACTAAAGGACACAGTGCACAGCTCTTGGGCTAACAGTCTTTCCACTTTGTGCATTTTGGCCAAGAATAAAGTATGCCAGCACTTAAACTGTTTTGCACAAACAGAACAGTCACCATGTTATCCCTGATGCCGAAAAGCTACTGACAAATTTATAAAATCCATTGCCTCTAAATTCTTAAGAGACAGGTCTTAAGGGCCATCTGATCCTCTCTCCTCCTAAGTCCTAAATCAAAGAATGGCAAGTACTCAACTTTAGTTTTTGTGTAAAAACAAAACACCAAAATGAAAGAAAATCCCCCCCAAAACATACTATCTAAGCCAAGTTTTACATGACATTATATATGTAAAATAAAGTACAATTTCCACTTAATTCAGTCTTCAAATATCTTTTATTGGAAGGCCATGCATTGCCTTCATTTATTGTATTTGAAATCACTGTACAGTTACTTTTGTGAAAACACTGCCTGCATTTTCTAGTACAAAAAAAACCTAAAAATTGTTTCAGGAATGTAGAGAAATATCCAACTTAAATAGCGAAAAAAGTGCACCATAATCACTGCTGCACTGCAGTCATTTCTGCATTTCCCATGTTTCTTAAATAACTATCTTGTCTGGTAACACACAATATAAAGAGCAATTATGAAAAACAGACATTTACATATACTTCTAAAGTCTTATTGAGAATACCCTGTTGGCATTGGATAGCCAATCATAGGCGCAGCAGCTGCGGTAGCAGGATATGCATATGCCTGTTGGTTCATACCATTGTGCATATTTGCAACATTACTTCCATATTGCTGAGTGCTATCATAACCGTTCTGGTAAGTCCCTGTTGGATTACCAGTCCTAAAACTGGTCTGTATACCAGCAGATACAAAATTACTTCCAAAGCTCCCATTGGTGTAATTTGCAGCACTGTAAACACCATTCTGAGTTTTAGCCCCAAAATCTCTCTTAAGCAGACTAGAATAACCTCTGTCATAATTTTCCCTGTCTCTAAAGGTATTAAATCCACCCCTTTTGCCTGCAGAGTATCTGTCACGACGATCATCCTTCATGCCTCCTCTACCCCTGGAACGACCTGTTAAGAAAATAAGCAAACACGGGTCAATTTTATCTGTGGCATAAACGTGCTTAACAAAGGAGTTAGGTAGCTTTCTTGACATGCCAGCTAAATGTTTTTCAGATTTTAGGTTTCAACATAAACTACTTACCCTACCAATCCCATTTAAAATAGGCTTTGTAGACAACGAGGTGACCCCAACTACCTGTAACATCTCTTACCTGAACCTCTGTCTTCGACCAACTGAAGCAACTTGGGATTAATTGCTTGATTAGCCTCCCGAAGCACAGAGATAAGGTCGCTCACTTGCTTTATGTTATTAGGTGTAAAGAAAGTGTATGCTGTGCCCGTTTTGGTACTGCGAGCAGTTCTTCCAATTCGATGAATATAATCCTCTGAGGAGTTAGGGTAGTCATAATTGATGACAAATTTCACATCTTCCACATCTGTAAGGTGTTGCAGTGTGGCAAAATAGCAATGTACGGAGTTTTGCACACCACAACAGCCAGACCAAAAATAAAAAGTTAGACAATTGTATTCCCAAGAAGGTACGGGCTGCAAAAAATACAGTTAAAATGGTTATCCATTTCCTGTAGGAATACCATTGAGGTAGAAAAAAAGAGGGTGGGGCAGAAAAAAAAAAAAAAAAAAAAAAAAAAAGCACATGTCAGCTGTATTAAGTTATCACCCTCCCACTGACAGCCTATCAAGGGAATGTGTATTCTCCTTAGCACATTCCCAATTTGGCAAAGTCCCCTTACAGATCATCAAGTGACATCTGAGTGCTTCTGCGCAGTAGGGCCACTTAAAAGTTTCACAGCAACCTCTTCATGTGCTCATTTTTGAGGACCTTTAAGAAAAATGTATAAGGTCCTTTGCATTACACTCATCAGAAGTTCAAAATTCTGGCCACACTGCTTGTCTTGCCAAGACCTTACAACTGCAGCTGCAAGAAAAACATACCTGTCCCCCAAAAGTTGTTTTAATGCACTGTGTCTCGTCTAGGCAAGCGCTTCCAAGAAGCCAGGATTCACTTGAGAATGTGTCTCTCTCTGGCAGGTCTCGACATGACGACTACTGTGTAGGTGAGGGAGGAACTTTCAAGGCACTTTCTTTTCCCACTGACTACGTGTGAGAAGTTGATCCTGCTCTAGGTCTCATGTGCCAGTACTCACCAATTTGTAAAAGGCTTAGTACCTTTTAAAGCTGCTCTCTCCATTTCAAACTTGAACAAAAATTTCATTGAACATTGAAGTTTGGAAATATTTCTTCGACATTTCAGCAAACTCACTGAAACTCAAAGACCCACAGATCACAGTGAACAGTTTGAAACAATGCTGTACCATGGCAATCATGCAAAGCATGGGACAGATGAAATACCACGGCAGTGAACTGTGAGGTAACTCCCATTTTCCCCGGAGAGAACAGTTTATGGGGCAGAAGTGGTATGCTCTGCCCTTTGAAGATTACTGGCACACTTTCAGCTTTTCACCTCTCTAATCGACTGGAAGCAGCCAGCCGATCACTAGTCCTCCATCCCCCTCGAGTCCTCCGATTGTCATGCCTAGGCCTTGCCACAAAGACTGCACCTTTATGTGAAAAAAACTTAGAAAAAATGCAGAGGTTAAAGAAAGCAATAAACTTTCTTTAAAAAAAACTACACGGAGATCTTCTGGGAAACCAAGCCATGAATTCGAGTTTGTACTAACCTAGCCCTCTGGAGGCCACATCGGTAGCAATCAGAATAGGAGCTTTTCCGTGTTTGAATTCTACAAAGACATACACATAAATGATCATTAATCCAAGCAAATGTTATCAAGTTGTTGGTACAAATTTCATCTTATTTGAAATACATACCATTTAGAACCCAGTCACGTTCCTGTTGACTCTTGTCACCGTGGATGCCCATGGCAGGCCACCTATATTAACAAGTTATATTAGTGCACTCACATTTAAAACCCAAAGGCAGACAGAATCTACCAATATTTAACCTTACAGTACTTCAAGTGCTCTCCCACTCAGAATTATATCCCTGAGCTCTTACCACTACACTGTCATTGAAATTAATTTGTATGATTATACTATCCAGTGCAACACACATGATGCCCACAGAATTCTACTTTCTGACTGAAGTACTTCTGTACAAAGTCTGACATGATGCAGGAAACCACATACCCATCTCTCCTCATTTTTCTGGTAAGCTCATCACATCTTCTTTTGGTTTCAACAAAAACAATGGTTTTATTCTCCTTCTCACTCATGATCTCTTCCATTAGACGAATAAGCCTAAAGAGAAACAAGTAAGTTGTCATTTTAAAAAGGGACAATCAACTTAAAAAAAAAAAAAAAAAAAAAAGGGGGTTGTGAAACTTATCTACGGAAGTCAAAACACCACACCCACTAAACCACTTCTGTTCTTGGTCCTTTAGGAGAGTTTGTGACATAGCTTTCCTTTCCTACAGGAAGTACTGTTAAATACTAACTAGGCAAGCACAACAGCTTTCATAAAGACTGGCATACAACTTTGCATGCTTGTATCGTGGTGTAGTAGCTAGGTTCAAACTCAAGCTTTTTTCTTACATCAGTCAGGCAGGTAAGTGGTTTATCATCAAGCTATATCCACAACAAACATTTTAAAAAGATCCTATACCACACTAAATGTCATTTTAAGACAACTTTGAAAATTACTCTTATACAATCAAGATTTTCTGAAATTGCTAAGATTTAAACTTACTTTTCATCTTTTTCTACATCATGGCACACATCCACAATCTGAAGAATGTTATGGTTTGCACTCAGTTCTAGTGCACCAATATTGATATGAATATAGTCTTTCAGGAAATCTTCAGCAAGCTGTCTTACTTCTTTTGGCCAAGTTGCACTCCACATTAGGGTTTGCCTATCAGGCTAAAAAATTTTGGGAAATAAATTAAGACTGTAACCCTAAGAGTAAACTTAGAACTGATCTTTACAAGAACACAAGGATACACACTCTTATTTGATCCACAATTTTCCGTATTTGGGGTTCAAATCCCATATCAAGCATTCTATCAGCTTCATCAAGGACAAGGTAAGTTGTTCTTCTCAGGTTGGTTTTCCCACACTCTAAAAAGTCAATCAGTCTTCCAGGTGTTGCAATACAGATTTCCACACCTTTAATTAAAGGAGTAAAATAAATTTAACTATAACATGTAGAACTTTCATCCCACTAGTGACAAAAGAGCCCCTTTATGATCATATACCTCTTTCCAAATCACGAATCTGTGGTCCCTTGGGAGCACCACCATAGATGCAAGTAGACTTCAATCGACAGGCTCTACAGTATTCAGCAGCAACTTGCTGCACTTGCTGAGCCAGTTCTCGAGTTGGTGCCAGCACCAAGCACTAAGGGAGGCAAAAATTATGTAAGACAAGGCTTTCTGTCATTGAAGGTGGCCTCCAATTCTTGGATCCTCTAGTTTCTGCTTGGGATTATAGTACTGAGATTATAAGCATGGACTACTATGCTCAGGATAAAGACTTTTTGTATGTGGGAGCACACAAAAAGCAGAAGAGCTGGTTCTCTACTTGTAGGGTTATAGTGATTGAATTCAGGCTTACTATTCTTGGACACTAGTTGTAAATTGTTAAGTTCCATTCTTCAGCTATAGTCAAACCAGTTCTAGCAAACTGAGTGGGATTATGTAGTCTACAAATCTCTAATTTACAAGACATACTTACAATAGGCCCATCACCCCTCTCTAGGAATGGCTGATGATTTATGTGGACAATGGCAGGCAGCAAATACTGTTGGGAGAGGAAAAGTGAAAACACACAAATTTTATTAAAACCCTTTATAAAGACTTACCAGGTCACCACTCCCAGGATGTATCAAGTTTTTCTAAACTTACAGATAATGTTTTCCCAGATCCAGTCTGAGCTACTCCAACCATATCCAATCCACTTAGAGCAACTGGCCAGCCCTGAGCTTGAATAGCAGTGGGTTCAGTGAAATTCTGCCTTGCAATCACATCCATGACATTTGCTGTAACCAATAATACCATGTTAGCAAAAAAAAAAAAACAAACAAAAAAAAAAACAAGCGTAGGCAAGAGGGAACAAAGGGAACAAACGAAAAGAATTGAGATGAAAATTAGTCCTTACCAGGGAAGTTTGCTTCATAAAAATTCAGAACAGGTTTTGGACAGTTGTGACCCCGGACTGTAATTTCCTTGCTTCTTCTGTATGTATCTACCTCTTGCTGAAAAACAAATGATCCCAGCCTCAAACCTCAGCCAACTGCACTGACAAGTCCTCTACATTTACTTGAAAACAATCAAAAAAAAAAAAAAAAAAAAAAAAACCCACTTAAACAAAAATTACCTTATAGTTTTATTTAAAAAAAAGTCTGTAGCACAAGCAGGCTGATTGGCTTGCCTGTCTCCCCAGTGATGGGATTTAAGGCCAGTTCCATTACACCTGGCCTTAAAATTTTACACAGAATTCAATGGGACATCTCAAAATCAAAAGAGACATTTACAAGACACCTGTCAGTTTCCATGCAACTGAGTAGATGAGGGCTGTTACCCAGTAAAGGCCACATTAAAATCACTCACCGCGGTTCGTCTGGCCAAATCAGGGTGTTCCTGATAAAAATTCTTCTCAAATTTGGGCAGCTCATCAAGATTCCACTTCTTTTTAACTAGTTTCTCCCCAGGATTTCCAAACTTCTTCCCAGAGAGGGGTCCTGTTCTACTCCCTCCGAATCTTGGCGCACCAAACCTACGGGGTAAAAAAAGAAAAAGCCACATTGTGAAGGAGTTGTTCTTGCTATATATGTCTGCATCCACATTTTATTTAATGTCTTGATATCGAGCCAAAGTGCATTTCTGGAACCCCTCCCCATAGTCATTTCTCTAGACAGCCACAACTGGCCCAGTATTTTTACTGTGTAGTAGTCCCACGCACACTCAATATTGAGGCCAAACAAGCAGCCTGGATTTACCAGGTCGGAAACTTGCCTCAACGTCTGAAGTTCAGATTACAAGGACAAACAGCTTGAGGCTCTATATACCCTCCCCAGAGCTTAGGAATTAGACTCTAGGAGCTGGGCAAGAAGGGAGGAGCTTAACAAGGTTATTTTTGCCACTGTTTCCCACCAAAGGAGCTGATCTTAAACAAGGGCGCCGCGCAGGCGATGTGAGCAGGTGAACGGGGAGGGTGTTGCGGGCAGGGCAGGAAGGGGTGAACACGCCGCGAACCGCGGAAGCGCAGCAAACCGAGGTAGCAAAATTATATAACGCGAGGAGAAAAGAGGAGGAGCCGGCGACAACCGGGGGAGGAGTCCCGGGCCGGGCGGCGTTCCCGCTGGGGCGGCGCTTCCTTCTTTGTCTCGCATTTCTCTCTGCGCCACATTTTCTCGACGCTGCCATTTTGAGCGCCTCCGCCGGGCGGGGTAACAAAGGCGCCGCCGCCATGTCCGAAGCCGGCATTTTGTGGCCGCCGCTCGGCACCATGGCTGAACCCGCCGACGTTCGCCACCCTCCACGGCACGGATGGCCTCGAAGCCCGACCCCTCTACTCCCCGGTTAACACCGGGGACCCCCGAGAACAGCCGCCGGAAGGCTGGCCCGAACGCCGCCTCGGGGCCGCGCTCCCTTGCCTCACACGCTCCGCGGGGCTTCCCGCAACAGCCGCGAGGTCGCCGGGGGGCGCCAGGGGCCCCAGCCCTCCCAAACCCAAAACGAGCGAGGTGGAGCCCAATCGCCGGGCGCGGCGCCTCGAACGCCTCTTACTAAGCTACCAGGGAAACGCGAGGCCGCCTCCCAGAAGCGCCCGAGGGTCGGTTGGGGAGACGAGCTCCCGCCGCGCCGCCCTCCCATCCCCCACCCGCCCGGCCTGACAGGTCCCTAGTCACACTCACCCTCGATCCCGGCCGCGGTCTCGGTCGCTGGAGTAACTCGACATGGCGTCAATGGTTGCGGTGAGCGGGAAAGACCCGGCGAGAGAGAATCCGGTCGCGACGAGTCGCTGAGCGGGGGGCCTCGGCGGCGGCGGCGAAGCCTGTGCGGGGGCGTCACCGGCGGAGGGACGGCGGTGACGAGGCCGGAGCTGCGCACCCGAGGACCGATGGAAATGAATGAGGTGCCGGCTGCGTCCCGGCGGCCGCTTTTATAGTCTGGACCGCCTCCTCGCCGCAAAGGCTGCTGGGAGCCGCTCTATGACCTAATCACCCCGCCCCCTGGCTGGAGGCCTCAACGCCCGCTGGCGTTCGGGAATCCGCCATGTCCCCGCCCCTCCCCCCGCCGGCGCTCCCTCACCGCCGCCCGTTTGTCACCCCCTCCCCTGCAGGGTGACACCGCCGGAACGCCTCGTCCCCGCACCCCTTGCCGTCCTGCCACACCTCACACACAAGCTGCTTCCCCGTGCCCAGCCGGTCCTTAAAATGGCCAGCACCAGCCACCTCGTCGGCTGCTCTTGAAGATGTTTACGTCTCCACAGCACCCCCCCACGCCCATCACCGAGGACGACGGCCGGGAGGTGGAGCCGCAGTGGTCACGTGGTTGGCCCCACGGGCTCGGCGGGCCGCACTACTTCTCGGCTTGGCGTCGGCGGAGGGATACCCGGCCACAAACTCACCGGAAGCGCTGCTCCGATGCCCCGGGGAGATCGGCCGGGCTGCGGGGTGACCGGGCTGCCTGGCCGGCCGACCTGAGAACCCTTAAGCGGGATCTTGCCCGCGGGGAATGGTGCTAGGGCCCGCAAACTGCCGCCGGAGCGCGCGCTGCGAAAGGAAGTGCTTCTCCGATGACCAATCAGCGGCGAGAAGCCGTTTTAACGTCCCTCCCTCTTCCAGCCCTCCTTCTCCGCTCCCTGGTTCCTACCCCCTCCTGCCCCCTACGGCTCCCTGCGGTTCGGCCCTTCCAGGACACCGTCGCCCGCGCTCGCTTTCGGCTCGGAGTCCGGCCGTGACCTTTCTTGGCGGTATGGCCAGCTCAGAGGCTGGTGAGTCTCGGTCTGGAGCCCTAGTGTGTGTGTACTGCAGCGTCCAGCTGGCCTCGGGCCGACCGGAACCGTGTCTGGGCTTCTGGAGAGGCTCCTGACTGCTGGACACTAGTCGCAATCGCGGGGGGGAGTCTCTGATTTTAGGGTCTCAGCCGCGAGACCTCGTGGGGTTCCTAGGCGTGGAACGGACACTAGGGACGTGACAGACGGGTTCGTTGGCGAGGCTGGAACACCCGCATCCTGTCTTTACGGACAGTCCGAGGATCCTGCTCTGACCTGAATTCTGTGGGGCATTACCCACAGGCTGTGTCCCCTTCCTTTGCTTTGTGGGCACTAAGGCGGAACCTACTTCTGTATTGATTTTTTGAGGCGTAGCACTCATAAGATCTTTTGATGTCCTCTAGAGTAACCGGCTTTGTCTAATACTGGCTTTGAAAAGCCAGTTGATTCGGTTGTCCAGGACGCTTGCCTCCTCTCCAGAGCAGTATACAAAATGGTTGTCATGGCTTGGTCTGCTGTGAGAAATGGGCATAGCACATTCAGACTATTGTCTCCAGAACATCTGTTCGTCTTATGCTGGAGATCTGTCCACTTCTAAAGTGCCTTGTCTTTAATACTCAATCACTTCAGGATACAGGTGTTTCAAGCTTTCAGAATTTATTGCTGAGACCCTTAAATTTGGTCTTGCACTATATGAGGGCAAGAGCTGTTTAAAAAAAAAAATGTGGCACCTGAGCAGTATTAATGTGCTGTTGAGAGCTTAGCGCTGTGTTTATGTTTTCCTCATGTTTACCTTATACTGCAAATATAATAAAAAAGGAAACAAATGCATTAGTGTCGGTGTGGTCATTATTCCAGTTTTGAACAGACTAAATCAATCACTTGTTTGGGCACCAGAGAGATCGTAACGTACACAAGATAATTGCATAAAACTATTGGGAATTTGGAGCCACCTCCATCAGATTCTAGCAACTTCAGATTATCATTTACAATTGTCTTAGGACATTCCTGTTCATCTATAAATGTAACTAAAAACACCCATGTAAGATAAAAATACTGGTAGATGGGATTTTAGGTTGCAAGAGTAAAAGTTGGGTTGACACAATAGTTTTGACTGTGTAGAAGCTATGTGGCACTGGAAGTCATGCCAGGAAATTAAACATGTCTTTTGAAATTTTTTTTTCCCAATTGAGTATTTGCAATTACATGACCAAAGTCCGTATTTTCTACAGTTTTTAGCGTATATGCTTGTGTGTCATTGATTTTTTTTTTTGGGGGGGGGATGTATATCTGACTTTTTCTATTGCTATTGAAGACTGATCCCACCCCCTTCTTCCCCAACAGAATGGGTACAAATTGCCAATAACCTTCTTTTTAAATGTCACATACACCTGAGGATACATCAACTTGAAGACTGTGATGCTAATGTTTTTGTTGCACTTTATCAATCCATTTTGGGAGAAAAGGTACCAGGTAAGGGTACTAAAAAGTGAGAATAATTTTGTTATGTCATGAGTTTCCTTTGACATAGAATTTTGTTTCCCTTTCAACATCTTAGTTCTATCCAACTATGACACTAATTGCTTTAATAAGTACATTATGAACCTCACCCACAATAACAGCCATGATGAAATAGTTTGGCATTTGAGTTAATCCCCATTTAATCCAATCCTGTGTAATTCATTCATGCCTTTTTGAGTCATTATTTCTGTAACTACCTTCAATTCAAGGTTAAAAATTTGAGTGGATCTTGGAAATTTGTTGAGTCTTATATAACTACTAATTATAGATAAGAATTAACATTGCGGGCTGGAGAGATGGCTCAGCCGTTAAAGGCTAGGCTCACAACCAAAAACATAAGAATTAACATTGCAGTGGGGTATGCTGGCTAGGCTGGTCTACAGAGTGAAATCCAAAGTTATATAAACCCTATCTCAAAAAAAAAAAAAAAAAAAAAGAAAAAAGGAAAGAAAAAAAAAATGCTGTTAGAACTTTGTTAACCAAATTTACTAAGAAGACAGCCAATGAATATGACTTACTGTGATTGCCCTTTTAGGTGTCAAATCATTGTGTGTCTTCTATTAAGTATGAAGATCCCTTATCCATAGGTTCCATACAGCTTCCTTTGTCCCTTATTGATATGTACAAATTGCTATAAAATTAGTATCCTTCTCTTTCCCCACCATTAACTTGAATGAATGTCTTCCACATTTTCTAGAACAATGCTTTGACTTGTGGTTGTAGTAGCTTGATGTTAATTTCAACTGTCTAAGGTTCATCTTACTGTTTTGTTTTTTCTAGACAGGGTTACTCTGTGTAGCCCTGGCTATCCTGGAACTCTCTCTGTAGACCAGGCTGGCCTTGAACTCAGAGATCTGCCTCCCGAGTGTTGGGATTAAGGGCATGCGACACTCTGCCCAGAGGAGACACTTGCCTTGCTATTAAGATCTTTGCATATTCTCCTCTATACATTAGTTTCTATGTTATTCCCAGACAGGGTATGTAAAAAATGACTACTTTAACACCTGCTGTGTTTTGGTGTTCTGGTTTTGGTTTTAAGACATAGTATCACCTATAGCCTCAGATGGCCCAGGACTTGCTATGTAGATCAGGCTGTACTTTGCCTACCCAAAGATGGAATTACAGGTATGTTCCAACATACCTGACTGATTTAGGATTTAGTTTTGCTTTACTTTGTCAAGGAAAGCAGCACATAGTTAGGGGTTTAAGTATCTTTTTGTTTTTTAGACAGGTCTTGTTATATAGACTAACGTAGTTGCAAACTCATAATATAGCTACCATTTCTCCAGTGCTGAGCTTATAGATGTGTCATCAAACCCAGCCTTGCTGTTGTTATTAGATTATCTTAATGCCTTGAATATAAGGACTTCTGTTTATTCCTCTACGTGATGTTTCCATAGGGTATACTCATGCATTAGGTGAAAAACATTTAACCACTATGTAAAGATTATTGAAAAGTAAGTTTAGATTAATAAGTGTCAACCATTACAGACTCTAGTACATAGAACTTAGGCTCTATAAATCCTGTTTTGAATTGTTTTTATAGCAGTGGAGTTTATTCACAAGCCTAGTCACAGTACGAGTTGACTAGTACATCATATATATATATATATATATATATATATATATATATATATATACACACACTTTTTTTTTTTGTCTCAACTTTACCCCTTCAAAGATCAAAAATGATGCCATTTTCCCTCTTCTACAGACCTCATAGCTATTTCCAGGAGTCAAGAAGATGATGCTCACAATGTACAATCTGTGATTGATTCACTAGCTTTGGATTACCTTCAGGTCAGCTTGTCTCACATAACAGGTTAGTATATGCTTACTCATGAGATAATTATATAATTTAATGAAATGGTAGAATCTTGGTTATTTTTGTTTTGTTTTGTTTTTCCATGACATGGTTTCTGTGTGGCTTTGGAAGCTGTCCTGGAACTAGCTCTTGTAGACCAGGCTGGTCTCGAATTCTCCAGCCCCCTAGATTTTTTTTTTTAATTTTGAACCATGTTATTTATTTAAAACACTTGGAAATGTAATTTAATTGGTAGAGTGCTTGCCTAGAGTGTAGGAGGCCTTGGGTTCAATCTCCAGTACCACACACAGACACAGATACAATTTAATGTAAACTGTTTTTTAAAGCTTTTTTTCCTGAATAATACAGTGTACACTATGTTGCAGTCAAAATAAAACATACCACATGTATTCATATTTGCAGACTGAAGGATAAGAATTCTAAGAGTATAAGCTAGTGAATACTGAGAATCATAGAAACTTCCAAGTATCTTAATCATAAAAAAGGCTTTGATATTTCAAGGAGATAAATTTTTTTTCTGTTCTTTTATTTTTTAGAGACAGGTTCTCCCTACATAACACTAGCTGTCCTGGCTTCAAACTCACAGAGATCTGTTTGCCTCTGACTCCCAAGTGCTGGGATCAAAGGTGTGTGCCACTATTCCCCCCCAGGAATTAAGAGAGGTCATTTATATCTTAACAAACTGACAAGAGCCATACACTATTTTAGTGAGATATTTTAATTCAATTCTAGGTGAGTACATGGTCTTGATCCACTTTGATTAATTTGGAGGGGTTATTTTAGAGTTGCCTTGTTGCAATGCAGCAGAATTACTTACTTCATCATCTGACTACAGACAGTCGCTGGTTTGTTTTAGGACAGCCTCACTATGTAGCCTTAGTTGGCCTAGAACTCAGAGATCCATCCCTAGAGATTGCATCCCTAATGCTGAAATCAAAGCTTTGTGTCACCACATCTAGCTCTTTTTTTTTTTTTAAGTAATTTATTTAACTTTATTTTATGTGTATTGGTGTGAAGGTGTCAGATCCCCTGGAACTGGAATTACAGTTGTGAGCTGCCATGTGGGTACTGGGAATTGAGCCTGGGTCCACTGGAAGAACATCCAGTGCTCTTAAAGGCTGAGCCATCTCTCTAGCCCCCCTTTTTTGTTTTTTAAAGCAGACTCCCAAACAGTAGCCTTGTGTAAGGCCACTGGTTTCACCGGTTAGCTCAGGCCGGCCTCAAACTCTTGGCAGGTCCTCCCACCCCATCTCTTTAGTGCTGGGCTTATAGCCTCAGGTTTCCACAAATAGCTTGGTATTTGTGTTGTAGAAACGTACTGGAGCAAGGTTATAAAAACGCCGGCTTGTGAAGGTTTTTGGTATAGTGCTGCCCTGACAGCACGGCATATGGAAAGTTGCAGATGTGCTTACCTATTCAGGTCAGCCAGAGAGCAGCTTCTTTTACTGCTTATGTCTCTTTTAAAGCACTTTGTTCACTAGCATGAAGAAGCCCTGCACTCTGGTGGCAGCGTAGTTGCATGGGTGGCGTCATGTGCTCCCCATCCTCGAAGCAGAAGTCTGAGTATGCCCTTGGGACACACGAAAAAAACAGCACTTGAAAACATGATTTCTGGTTTGTTATTTTAAAAATTAAAAAGCCCATCAAACTTTGTTTTTACCAGTAGCAGAGGAAAACATCAGATTTCTGATTTAGATTTGTTTGATGTCATGGTCAAAGTACACGGGCTACATTCTCAAATCATAGGTTTTGAGTCTGCCTTTGCTGTATTTTTTGAATGGCAGGCATAATTTCCCAGAGGGGGAACAGTACAGGGAGTAAGTCCCATCCAGACTTGGTGTTGATTAGAATCCATTTTGAACGACATTAAACAAATGAGGCTTATGTTTTCCCAGGCCACTTCTCCATGTCCACCTTAACGTTTATCTGTAGTCTCTTATGGGCCAGGTGTTGTACTAGAGACTTTCCAAAGATTAGCTTCTGGGAACTGGAGTAGAAATCAGTTGGCTGTTCCTTAGGACAGATACTTAGCTGCTAGGAAAAGGAACATGCCATTGAATGATTAAATACCACACTCAGCTCCCCACCCTCTGTTTCTTCAGATATAATCAAACAGCAGGAAACAGATGTTTTTGATATAATTGCCTTTCCTTGATTAGTTCATACCTGTATTCTCAAACAGCATTCATATATATTTCAAGGTTTATGAGGTGTAGCAGGCTTTCTTTTGGGCCACCAACCATCTCCCAAATAAATACACAGAGACTTAATAGTTGTGAATGCTCAGCCTTATTTTAGCATGTCCCATTCGCTTTTATAAATTAACTTGTTTCTCTTTGGAACTTTTTACCTTTTCTTTCATTCTGTATATCCTACTCCACTTCTGGCTGGCTGGAACTGCCTGGCTGGCTAGCCCCAGGAGTTTCCCTCTTCTTCTCCCTGGCTCTTTCCTCTCAGAGCTAGATTGGTTCTCTTGTTTACTCTCTCTCTACCCTCTGCTGTCTAGCTATTGGCTGTTCAGCTCTTTATTAGACCCATCAGGTGCCTTAGGCAGGCCAGGTAAAATAAATGCAGCACACTTGTACATAGCTAAAGTAATATTCCACAACGATGAGGCTTTCTGATTTCCTTTTTAAATGTCTTAAAATCTGTGTCTTCTGTGTTTAGGAGAAAACATAGTGAAAGGGGATAAGGAATCTATCAAGAATCTCCTAGAAATATTTGATGGATTGTTGGACTATCTGACAGAACACATCAGTGAAACGTCTCACAACAACAGTAAGTTTAAGGGTGGAAGCCAGCTTGCCTGTAGCTCTTAGGAAGCAGAATCTCTAATAAAAAACAACAGCTGGTAAATGTAATGATAAACTTCCAATTCTTTCTATTCTGAGTGGTTAGAAACTATCCTATACTCTCATTATAGTCTTTGCTAACTTGGATGTGAGTTTTAAATTACAACCGATCAATAATAGAAAGTTAAATTTCTAGTTAATTATTTATTGTCCTGTTATTACATGAAATCTCTTACTCCATGATTTCCTGTTAGAGCTGCTATCGTGCATTGTAAGTGAGGATGTTACTGAGGCATCAGCAGGGAAGCCTGGTACAGCATCAGTCTTGAGCCTAAACTGGCATTGTGTGACAGCCTGAATATTTTTAATCTTACCCTTTGAGCAATCCACTTTAGATTTAACATGTGGAATTTCTTTAATGAAGATCAGCATTGCATTATTTTAAACCCACTTTTTGCCTTTGATAAATTCTGTATCTAGGAACTGATGGGGAATGTCTTTCTGTATATGTTTCTCTTATTGGTTGATGAATAAAACACTGATTGCAGGAATTATAGGCAGGGCTATAAGACAGAATTCTGGGGAGAGGATGCAGAGAAAGGCCACCAGAGATGCCCTGTAGTTGCCAGGAAGATAGGACTCTGAGCATTCTTGGGTAAGATAAGGCCATGTAGAAATACATAGATTAATAGTTATGGGTTAATGATTAAGAGAGAGTTAGCCAGTAAGAAGTCTGAGTCATTAGCCAAACAGTTTATAATTAATATAAGTCTCTGTGTTTATTTGGGGCTAAACAGCTGTGGGACCATGTGGGACTTACTCAGGGTTAACAGGAGGTGCTTGGATGTGCTGTACCTTTTTATATTTATTTATTTATTTATTTATTCTTATTTTACATGTGGATCCCAGTTCCCTCTCCCTCCCTCCCTAAAATTCTTTTTATTCTCTTTTACTTATTTTGTGTGCACGTGTGCACATGCATGTGGTTATCTTTACCACAGTGTGTATGTGGAGTGGGCTCTCTCTGTCCACCATGTGGTTCTCAGGGGTCACACTGAGCTTGGCAGATTTGGGGGTAAACACCTTGGCCCTTTTTTGTTTTTAAGTAACAAGGTTAAGAGGCAGAAACTCTACTAAGAGATTGAGATTAATTAAAATGGTGAGAGCAGCCAGCTGGTGGTGGCACACATCTGTAATCCCAGCACAATGTGTTTGAGGCCAGCCTGATCTATAGAGTGAGTTCTAGGACAGAAAACCTTTCTTTAAGTAAGTAAATACAGTGGTCCCTACAATTTAATACTTTACTGGCTGATGAGGGCAGTGTGGGGACTGTCTTAGTCACTGTCCTGCTGTGAAGAAAGAGACACCATGACCACAGCAACTCTTACAAAGAGAAAGCATCTAATTAGGGCTTGCTTACAGTTCCATTTCATGGCAGGGAGCACAGCAGCAAGCAGGAGTAGTGCTGGAGCAGTAGCTGAGAGCTACATCCTGACCCATAAGCGGGGAGAGGGAGAGGAGAGCCAGGGGAGGGGGAGGAGAGCAAGGGGAGAGGGAGGAGAGCAAGGGGAGAGGGAGGGAGGGAGAGAGAGAGAGGGAGGGAGGAGAGAGAGAGAGAGAGGGAGAGGAGAGGAAAGCAAGGGGAGGGGGAGGGAGGGGGGAGGGAGAGAGAGGAGAGGAGAGAGAGTGGGAGGAGAGGAGAGCAAGGAGAGGGAGGGAGGGGGGAGGGAGAGAGACCCTGGGCTTGGCATGGGATTTTGAAACCTCAAAGCCCACCTCCAGTGATGTTAGTCCTCCAACAAGGCGCACCTCCTAACCCTGTCTAATAGTGTCACTCCCTGGTGACTAAGCACTCAGATTTATGGACCTATGGGGTCATTCTTATTCAAGCCACCACAGGGATGGAGGCAGGGGGGCAGAACCGAAAAGGTTTTCGTGTGAGTGCATGCTAATGGAAGGCTGAGGAATTATCCCAAAGGGAAGTTGGTAGTGAGTTGAGTTGTGCTGGGGGAGTTGTGCAGTTAAGTTTTTCTCTGTGACAGCACCTTAGTTGACTATTTTCTAAGGTTTGAGTTTCACTTACACAGCTTCACGGTGTATTTATTTGGCAGTATTACGTGGAGCTGATCAGATCCTTCAAAGTTCCAATGAACATTAACAGGAAACAAATGTCTACTGTCATTAGGCAGCTTCCACCTGGGACCTAGCATTGTTTACCACTGAAGGAGGGATTGGAAGGCAGACTTGGGGATCACCACTTAGTTCTACTCCTTGCTGTATTGTTGGTGTTCTCTAAGCTTTTGCTTGCTTGCCTTATTTATTTATTTATTCATTCATTCATTCATTCATTCATTCATTCATTCATTCATTTATTTATTTATTTATTTATTTGAGGCAGAGGCTTGAGTAGCCAATGGTGGCCTTCAACTCCTGCTTCTCCTTAATCTCCTCAGCATGAGACCACAGGTCTGCCCTACTACACCTGGCTCTCAACTGGTTTTCTTTTCAGAGGTTGTGAAAGTTAAGTGGAATAGTTAGCAGAGGGCATTGTGCCTCCGTGTGGGGGCAGACAAAAGGGTATGCAGAACCCTGGTCACTGGAGGCTTCATTCCCCATCTCCTGGGCTCATCCTGTGACTGGGGATGTGGATAGCAAAAGATGTTTTTATCCACCGTGATGTGTCTCTCTTAGCCTCAGGCATGGTTGTCTTGGAACCTGGAATGTACTGACACAATCATGTCTTTGTGCTGACTTCCTTAATTACGTCAGCTATTCCTTAGAGATGAAGAGGTGTAAAATATGCCAGCCTGGCTTTTACTGTGGGGCTGAGGAGATGCTCCATAGGTAAAAGCACTTGGAAATATAAGCTTGATAACCTAAATGCCATCCCCAGAACCCACAGGGAAGAGAAACAACTCCCAAGGGTGCCCTCTGTCCCCCACACTTGTGGCACTTGAGCTCCTGCTTGCTCCGTGCACATGTGTGTGCAGGCAGTAAAAAATAAAGCATGGCTGTAACCGGCCAGTCACCTGGGTGAAAGCCCTATGCTTGTTTCTTTGTCTCCAGGAGACTATCCAGGTGGTGGTTTGTTTTGCTTCTTTTATCATTTTTGTTCTGGCTCAGGGCAGGCTGGGGAATTTATCCTTAGTTTTTATCTTGTTTAAACAGGTGAAACTGAACAGTACTTTAAGGACTCTCATGGAGAGGAACCCGTGGAAGAGCTAGAAAGTATCAAGGAGTCCAAGTCATCCTGGAAAAAAGTTTCTTTTGGGAGGTAGTTTGCAATGCCTGTGATTTCATCAAACAAGTGGAACTTATCATCATCTAAGATGAAGCCCAGCATGCTCCAATGGTCCCCTCCAAAATTTAATGTGAACATTGTACTAACTTGCCTTTCTGTCTTTCTGAGGGAGTTTTCAGGATCTTGAACTCTATTTAATAATTTAATGCTAATGCTCAAATTTAGCTACCTGTTTTTTTTTTTTTTTTTTTTGGTTTTTCGAGACAGGGTTTCTCTGTATTGCTCTGGAGCCCGTCCTGGAACTTGATCTGTAGATCAGGCTGGCCTCAAACTCACAGATATCCACCTGCTTCTGCCTCCCGAGTGCTGGGATTTAAAGGTGTGTGTCACCAACACCCGACTATCTGTTAATTTTTAATTTTTCTCTTGATCATCAATTTTTTTCTTTTTGAGACAGGGTCTTATATACCCTGGGCTGGCATTGAATTTACTGTGTAGCTGAATGACTGCCTTTACCTCCAAAATGTTAGATTTGTTTGTTTTTTGAGACAGGGTTTCTCTGTGTAGCCCTGGCTGTTCTAGAATTCTCTCTGTAAACCAGGCTGGCCTCAAACTGAGAGATTTGACTGCCTCTGCCTCCTGAGTGCTGGGATTAAAGGCATGGGACACTACACCCTGCCCTTGTTTAATTTTTTTTTCCTTTTTTTACATTCCAATCCCAATTCCCCCTCCCTCCTCTTCTCCATCTCCTCAGAGAGAGTAAGGCTTCCCCCAGGAAGTCTAAGTGTCCCATCTGGTGACCTTGATGGTTTTACTATGTGTACTGGGTTGGCCTTGAATTTATAATGTAGCCACAGCTGACCTCTGACCTGCAGCCATCCCCCCATCTCCCCCCCCTTTTGTTACCTGCCCAACTTATGAAATTTTTTACTTTTTCATTATTAGATTTAAAAACAAAACGAAAAGAGCAAAAATGAAACTATTGGAGATTTAAAAAAACTTTTTTTGACATTCTTGTAGCTCAGACTGGTCTGGAAATTGGTGTGTAGTCAAGGACTACATTTAATTTACGATGTTCCACTCTACCTCCCAAATACTGGGATTACAAGCATGTAGCACTATGTCCAGTTCTAGTCTGTGCTAGGAATTGAACCCAGGGCTTTCTGCATGCTAGGCTGGCACTCCCCCAGCTGAACTCTATGCCCAGCCCACTGGTGGTGATGTACATCTTTAATCCCAGCACTCGGGAGACAGAGGCAGGCGGATCTCTGAGTTTGAGGCCAGCCTGGTCTACAGAGTGAGTTCCACAACAGCCAGGGTCACACAGAAATCTTGGAGAGAGAGAGAGAGAGAGAGAGAGAATTTGCTGCAAAAGTAAAGCTTTGCCCAGATTCCTAATCCTGCAGCCTTAGACTCACCAGTGTTTGATATCCTTTTAATCTGTGAAACTGTTTCCACCTTGCATTAACACTCAAAACCAAACAGATAAGAGGCAAAAAGTAATTTTCTTCTTTCCCTCCTTTCTGGGAATAAACCAAGGGCCATTGTCAGCAAGTGCTAAATTTTGGGGCTGCATCTCAGTGGCTGTAGTCTGTGTACCTAGGAATGCCTGTAAGCACATGGTCACTGTTTGAAACAACCTGTAGGTGAACAGGCGTAGTGAGTGAGACCTTTTTCAGGTGTTCCTTCTCATCTGATGCTTTGGGGCCCACCTGGGATGAAGATGGAGCAGAATCCACAGGTGAAATAATTAGGCTTGGAGACACCGCACATACCTTTTCCCTAAGAAGTCATGGTGAGTAGACAAACCTTTAGTATCAGTTATCATTTGACTCACAAGCACAAGAAGGTTAAGGTTGAGATGAATGGGGCCCCAATTAAATATCTGTATGGAAGTCACAGAATGTCACCATTGCCCACTAAACATGAACTGGCAGAACTGTGTGAGATAATAACCTCATGCAGTAAGTACATGCAGAGCTGTCATAGGATTTGTGGGACAAATTATATGGAAGATTGGATGCAGCTTTGAACTTTGTCACCCCTTTGGGATACTCAGTTCTAATGTTCTGAACTGGTCTATTTTTCCATGGTTTGAACTGACAAGGTCCTGCTCCTGGTACCTGCTGTTCCAGCCACATGCCTAACAATCCTCTGCTTGTGCCCTGAGTGCCTCTCAGCTCCAGCCACACACGCGCCCTAGTCTATCTCCGTCGGTGCTCTTCTCGTTGCTTTGTCCGTCCTGTTCATGGCAGGCTTATCCGGTGCCCGGCCTCATCCACCTGTGTCAGGTTCTAAGGCAGTGTTCCCATGGGCTGGCCTTCTCTGTATTTCCGTAACGCCATTCACACATTGCATGGAAAATTACAGTCTGTTAGGAACTTGAGTTCCTGGGAAAGTAGCCAGGTCATACTCACCCATCAAGTCTGATTCAGTGTCTTCCCTGTGCCAGGCCCTGGCAATAGAGTGGGAATAGAACAGCCACAGAGCCCGCCTTCAAGGTGCTGACAGTCTGTGTGGCGAGATAAATTGGTGAAATTATTGTTTTTCTTAGCCTGTCAGACCCTGGCAAAATACAGGCCACAGTAAGTATGTTTTTGAATGGAAGGATTAAAAGGTTATTGTAGAAATAGGTAGAATAAATTGAGATTCGAGAGGTCTTCCCTCTTGCAGCTGTGGACTTTGTGACTGTGGACATGAACCTTTTCTGAGTTTGATTTTTGTCAGTGTGAATGAGGGAATTGGACTAAACCACCTCTGTAGTCCCTGTCAGCATTAATACTCTGGCCTCAAAGAGTCACATTTGAAGGAACAGCAGCAGACCAAAAGACAGGAGGGAAGGGCTGTGGAGTCTAGAATGGATTCTGTGGTCGCAAATGCCATGAACAGTGTATAGCTGCAAAATCTGACTCTTTTTGAGTACTGACATGCTACAAGTGGAAAACTTCAATCTGGGGCTGTCCAGACGGCTCATTCAGTAATGGTGCCTTGCTGCCAACCAAGCCTGACCACCCAAGTTCTATGCAGAGGACCCACAGAGTCACAATTTATCTTTTCATATGCACACTTTGGTACTCTGTGCACAAAAATGAATAAAATAACAAAAAGTTTCGGGGTTGCAGAGGTACTATGTTCATATTTTATTGTATACTGTGCTAGCTAGTTTATGTCAACTTGACACAAGCTAGAGTTACCAGCAGAGGAAGCCTCAATTGAGAAAATGCTTCCAGAAGATCTGGCTGTAGGTAAAGCCTGTAGGGCATTTTGTTTCTTTCTTTTTGATTTTTCTGAGTAGCTTTGCAGCCTGTTCTGGAACTTGTTCTGTAAGCTTGTTCTGGAACTCACAGAGATCCAGCTGTCTCTGCTTCCCGAGTGCTGGGATCAAAGGTGTGTGCCGCCACCCGGCTATGGGGCATTTTCTTCATTAGCGATGGATGTGGAGAACCCAGTCCATTTTGAGTGGAGCTACACCTGGGCTGGTGGGCCTGGACTCTAAGAAAGCAGACTGAGCAAGCCACAAGAGCCCTAAGCCTAACCCTGAGTAAGCAGTAATCAGCTCCTGCCTCCTGGTTCCTGCCTTTACAGCTTTTGATGCTCAACTGTTATATGGAACTATGAATGAAATAAACCCTTTCCTCCCCAAGTTGCTTTTGGTTGTAGTGTTTCATCACAGCAGTAGTAATCCTGAGAAATAAACATATATAAAATTCTCAAGAATAAGAGAAAACTGGCCAGGGGTAGTGGTGCACACCTTTAATCCCAGCACTCAGGAGGCCGAGACAGGAGGATTTCTGTGAGTTAGAGACCAGCCTGGTCTAACAGTTCTAGGACAGCAAAAGCTACATAGAGAACCTTTCTCAAAACAAACAAGCAAACAAAGATTCCGAATCTGACCACAATGATAGGTCAGTAAGTACAAGAGTGTTAATAATATTTTAGGTTGTGTGTTATGGCATATGAAACAAATAAGTTAGGCCTTCCCTCTAATACAGATTTATGTATGTATGTATGTATGTATGTATGTATATATATATATATATATGTATTTCCAAAATCCTAAACACTTCTGGTCCTACAGGGAATATTTTTTTTTGGGGGGGGGGTTCGAGACAGGGTTTCTCTCTGTAGCTTTGTAGACCAGGCTGGCTTTGAACTCACAGAGATCTGTGTACTTCCTCTGTGTACATACCACCTGGCATGGGAAAAATTTTAAACTAAAATTTTAATTATTAAGACTTAATGAGCAAGAATAAAAAAGAAAAGCTGGATATAGTGTTTGGGTTTCATGTGACCAAAGGGCAGCTTCCTTTTATATTTATATTAAGATGTCAGCTGTCATTCATTCTCATGGACATGTAACTTAGGCTTCAATTCCTGAGCCCTGAGTTTTCGGTGATGGCACTAGGCATAACCCTGCCTTCATACAGCAGCACCTGCTTCTCTAAAGCAGAGGAATACAGCATTGAGAAAGCTGCACTCAGGCTGTGGAGAATTGCCTCTTACCATGTGATAGCTGTTAAAGGTAACTGGTATCGTGCAGTTGGGACAAATACCCTTTGAATACAATGTTCCTATTGGCTCATAGTATTTAGGAAATTACTTGATAGTTTAAACTTTAGCTTTAAGACCCTCTTTCCTAGGTGCTCAAAATTTCATGGACATGGAGTCTAGCAAAGTTTCAGCTTCACCAGGCAGTAAACCACGTGAGGAAGTGTGGAACCCCATCTCATCGAGCTTTCTATCCAAGAACGGAACAACTTTTGAGGGTGAGTTGTAGTGGGCTTTGAGTTGTTTACACTACTGTAGCAGTGCGTGTGTAGAAGTTACAGTGCCAACTGGGTTAGAAGTTCAGTGTCTCTTTCCACTATGGGTTCTAGGGACTGACATCAGGTCATCTGAATTGGCTGCAAGCACCTTTGCCTGCTGAACCATCTTGCCAGTCCATGTGCTATGTTTTCATTAAATTAAAATGTATTCCTAAACTGAGTCTGGTGCCCAATGCCTGCAATCCCAGCACATGGGAAGCTGAGGCAGGTGGATTGCTGTGCAAAGTTTGAGGACAGTCTGGACTACAGAGTGAATTCTAGGACAGTAAGGCTGTTGTAGAATGAGACCCTTTTTCAAAAGCAAAACAAATTATGGAGTCGTTCCTGGCCTGGGGCTATAGCTCAGTGGAACATAGGAGGCCCTGGGTTCCATCTCTAGCATCTCACACACAAATTCCCTTAGTTGTGTGTGAATATGTTTGTATGTAAAACAATTTCTTTTCAAGGATTCCATTGTGAGATCCACTGTAATTTCTCTTAGCAGCAGAAACCTCTTCTGTGAGTATGGTTACAAGTGCCAGGAAATTAGGTGAGCCAATCCGAGCTGCCATTCCCTTACATCCTCCCTACCATCCTTCTGAGCCTCGAGCACCTTGTCCCATAGGGAAGGAATACCTCCGATCAAGTCACTACTCGTCTGCCCTGACTTCTGGAGAGCATTCAGCACTTTCTGTGGTAAGTGGAAAGGTCTTTTTATAATTGGCTAGAAGCCCATGTGTTACTGTTGGTGATTGAATCCAGTGCCTTGTGTATGCTGAACTCACACAGTCCTACTGGATCTATACCCTCAGCCCCAGAAATCCATCTACTTAAAGGAGTCTCCATAGAATAACTGTCAAGTATATTACATTAATCAAAGATACACACCTGGCATCATAGCACTTGGGAAGCTAAGAGGAGGGTCATTGAGAGTCTGAGGCCAGGCTGGGCTACATAGTGAAACTCTCAAAAAAAAAAAAAAAAAAAAAAAAAAAATTCAGTTCTTTTTTGTTTTGTTTTGGCTGTCCTGGAACTCTGTAGGCCAGGCTGGCCTCAAACTCACAGAGGCCTGCCTCTGCCTCCCAAGTGCTGGGAATAAAGGTGCATCATACTTGAAATTTACCTCAGTAGGCTGGGGATGTATCTTAATTGGTGGAGAGTCTACCTGGAAAACACAAATCTTCAACACTCTATAAACCCTATGTGGTGGTGCATGCCTGTAATCCCCAGGGAGCAGAGGCAAGAAGACTAGAAATTCACATTTATCCTCAGCTACAAGAAACCCTGTCTTAAAAAAAAAAATGTTGGGGCTGGAGATGGCTTAGTGGTTAAGAACACCAGCTGCTTTTCCAGAGGACCCAGGTTTTATTCCCAGCACCCACACAGCACCTCACAACTATCTCTAACTACAGCCCAGGGGACTGGAAACCCTCTTCTAACTTCCAAGGGCACCTACACATGCGCTGCACAGTTGTGCACTCTGGCAAAATACACAAAAATAAAATAATTCTTGAATTAAAAAAAGTGGACTTCTGTGTTTCCCTGCAGGCTCTTATCCTAGGCAGATAGAGACAAGAGTAACCAATTTAAAAGCGAGATAATGAAGTAGAATGATTGCAGATCTCAAATAGCAAATGAGTGCTGTTTTCCCACAGCTGTGGTGACACAGGTACAGTCTCAGCTCTTGTGAGAGAACAGTGTAGAGTGCCAAGCCAGCCTGGGCCACTTAGTGACTCCTGAACCAGATAGGAGACCCTCTCTCCAAAGGAAAACTCAAATATTTTCTAGACAGTTCCCTCTAAGGTTAAGAAATATACTTAAAAATATTGCTGGGGGTGGGGGGGGGTGGTGGCACACGCCTTTAATCCCAGCACTCAGGAGGCAGAGGTAGGTGGATGTCTGTGAGTTCGAAGCCAGCCTGGTTTACAGAGCAAGTTCCAAGACAGCCAGAACTGTTATACAGAGAAACCCTGTCTAAAAAACCAAAAGAAAAGCTAAGCATTTGTGTTTGGAGGGTTGCACCTTTGTTTTGAGTGTTTCTGGACAGTTTCTGTTGGCTTCCAGGTGTTTACGTGGCAAGCAGTTTACTGGCTGAGCCATCTCCTCAGTGTCTCAAACCACCTTTCCTGTTTGAATAGGAACCAGACGATAAAGTTGTCTTAACTTCTTCGTTATCTAAAGAAGATGAACAGGAAACATGTCTCGCTCTGACTCAAAGCCCCAGGACGAGGAGGCTTCCTAAAGGGAAAAGGTAACTGCTGTGGGCTTCCTGCTTACTAAAGGGATTTGAAAACCAAGGGCCTGGTGAGACAGTAAGGGTGCTTGCTGCCTTAACCCTGGTGACGGAGATCAATCCTTGGAACCCATGTAAAGGTGGATGGAGACATAATCTGAGCAAGTCACTTCCCCCAATAATATTTTCTTTAAAAAATAAGACTATACTGGTTCTCAAATGCTAAATTTGTAAAGTATAAAGTATTTGTTATAGCCTGCATTAGTCATTTTGAAATAGTACTGTATACTTGGCAGTTAATTGTCGTTGGCCACTTTATTACAGAAATGAAAACAGAGCTGTGGCCTCCTCAGAGTATTCGCCTTTCCCTCAGAAGGCCAGGAAGCGGCTAACAGAGGAAGAACTGCATGCGGTATCACAGAAACTCTCCCAGCGGCTCTCTGAACTAGACTGGGCAAGTCTTGGCTTTTAATCTTGCTTAAGATTTCTGTGGCTAGTCTTTCAGTGGAAGACACTGGTCTCCCAGCTTCAGTGAAACATACGCTTAGGCATTGGGGGCAAGTTGTGTGCCAGGTGTTGTTAAAAAGTTCCACAAGTCGAGCAGAAGGACACAAATGGTGGCATCTCGCCTTCTTATATAACCAAACAGGCCATACATTTTTGATGAAAATGGAATCACTTAATTTAATTATTAAACCATTCATCTTTAGATCTATACAGTGGAGTAACAACATTGAATGATTGTGTTAACCCTGTGACTTTCTGTGAAGCTGAGTGGTTTATAGCACTGATAGCCACCTGGTTTGTTTTTTGGGTTTTTTTTTTTTTTTTTTTGAGACAATCTCACTGTGTAGCCCTACACAGGCCAGGCTGGCCTTGAACTTGCTGTAATTCTGCCTGGGATCAAGTGTGTCTACCTATGCTTAAAATGTTAAGTATAGAGCAGGCCCTTACTACATCTCTAATCCTAGCACTGAGGAGGCAGAGGCACAATGAAATCCTGTCTCAAGATAAATAAAGTAAATGAAATCAAAGCTGTAGGTTTGTAAGATAATGTACCTAAGTATCCAAAAGCTTGGTATTAGTGACTGTCAGAGACAACTTAGAAGGCCTGTTCTCTGCCGCTTTACTTCCTGCTGAAGTCAAGGGTTTCTCAATAGATGTTAAAAAGTGCCCTGGGCAATGGAGCAACAGACAAGACTGATGGTGATACTGGGGATGAAGAGGTGCACGGTGAAAATGAGGAGGTACTGTCGCAGCATAGTGACAGCATCATGGAGTACGGACCCAAGAAGCCTAGGCCAGGTACTTAACCCATGATAACTCCTCAGATAGCTCCATGTGTTAGTGGCAGTTTCATTTTCTGTAAGGATCAAAATAATAGCAAACTCCAAGTTGGTATTCTTACTAATTATTTCTATACTGTTACAGTTTATATATTACTTGTCTAAATATACACTATTTTTTTCTAAAAATTACTATCAACACTATATATCTTGCAGACTTGCTTTAACAGAAATGTTTATTGATGTTTAAAGCTCGAGTTCATTCATTTGAGCTGCTGTATAGCTGGATCCACAGTGTGCCCATTAGCATAACAAGTGGTACTGCTCATTAGAGGACGCAGTGTCTAGCCATGTTAGCATGCTGTAAGCTGTGTGTGTGTTCACATTCCATCCTCAGGACCCAGACAGGTAAAAGACTAGTGAACTCACAGCCCACATGTTACTCACCTCACAACCGAGGGTATGCACGTACTTTCCATAGAACCTTATGCATGGCGTAAATTCCACATGCTGAATCAACCCAAAGTTCAGTAAGTAATAGATTTAGTAAGGTTGGCTGTCCACTGTGCTAGAGATATACTATGCGTGCTGGGGAATCTTAACTCATGCTTGGACAGCAAGCATGTCCCCTCCCTCATCCCTAACAGTCTGTTTGCTTGTGTGACTAAACACACAACTACTTATTAGGAGAGAATACACTTAGCACATTAGCTTGTCATTCTCATTTTCTTTAGGTTCAGTCAGAACCAATTGTTCAGTTTCCAGCCTAACATTTCTGACTGCCAGGAATTAATGGCAAATGACTTTTCTGTTTTGCAGGATTTTCCATGTCCAGAAAGGCACCTTACAGATCCCATTCACTGTCACCATCTTCAGTAAACAAACATAGACAATTAGATAAAGAGAGCAAACAGCAGCACAAGTCTAAAGGAACAGATACCCGACGATTCCAAGCAAAGGTACGCCCTTATTCCTTGACTCCAGTTGGGCAGCAGGCAAATACCATTTCCCCTCAAGTTGGACACTATAGTGAACATGAGTGCATGGCAGAGGATTATTTAAAATAGTGTATGTAATATAGTGTATGTCCCCATTAGAGACAGTCATTAAATCATCAAAAAATAACCTGGGTATTATTCAGTGGATGAAGGCAGACAAGGTCAGTGTGGCTTGGTATTTTCAGAAAAAAAGTCATAGATTAAAGGGAGTTAGGAAGGACAGCATGGAAAGAGAAAGCAGCTCCTAAAGGAGGGGGCTGGGAGCTCAGCTTTTAAGGAACTCAGATAGGATGCCCGGCATCCGCATGTGATGGGGCTCACAACTGTCTGTAACTCCAGTTCCAGGGGATCCAGTGCCCTCTTCTGACAACCACAGGCAACAGGCATCCAGACACACTGTGCACAGACATATATGCAGGCAAGACACCTATACACATAAAAATGTAAAAAAAAAAATTTAAGTTAAAGAGCTTCATCATTCCCCATTCCCCATTATTACCAGGGAAGATGCCCCAGTGCAACAGAGATTTTGAAATACATGAGTTTAGAATACTTAGTTGTCTACTGTAGTGTTTTTTGTTTTGTTTTGTTTTTGTGAGACAGGGTTTCTCTGTATGTAGCCTTGTCTGTCCTAGAACTTGATATATATATATATATATATATCCAGGCTGACTTCAAACTCAGATCTACCTGCCTCTGCCTTCCTAGTGCTGGAATTAAAAGTGTGTGTCACCAGCACCTGGCATAGTGGATTTTTATAAGGTAGTTGTATTTAAAACGCTGAAAACTGGAGTTAATTCAGATGTCTTTAAATACTTACCCTGAGGGTGAGGGTTGCTGTGCGGCATAAGCACTGGAATCTGATCCTCAGATTCAGTGAGACCCTGTATCAAAAAATAAGGTGGGGGTGAGTGAGGCACACAGACAGTATACTCAGAAGTACCATGGTAATCCTAAACTGAGTGACAATAGTAAAAAGAAAACCCATTGTGTTTAGCTGCACTTTATGTACCAATAGTTCTGTTAGCACAGCGTGTTTTTATGAAGCAGCCTAAAAGGAACTTAGGAAAGTCAATTTTTTAAATTTAGCTTTTACATTCTGATCCCCCCACTTCTCCTGCTTCCTCCATCCCCCCCCCCCCCAATCTGCTCCTCAGAGAGGGCAAGTCTTTCCTAGGATGTCTACTAAGTCTGTCCCATCATCTCATTGAGGCAGGACCAAGGCTCCTCCCCATATAGAAGGGCTCCACCACGTCAGTCAGATCTTGGACCCACTGCCAGTGGCCTCATATATTGTCCCAGCTGCACCACTGTCACCTGTATTAAGAGAGCCTAGTTCGGTTGGTCTAATGCAGGTTCCAGTTGTCAGACCAGAGTCAGTGATCTCTCACTAGCGTGGGTCAGCTGATTCTGTGGGTTTCCCATTATGGTCTTGACTCTTTATTCATATTATTGTTCCTCCCTCACGTCAGTTGTACTCCAGGAGCTTGGCCCATTGGTTAGTTATGGATTTCTGCATCTGCTGAACTTGGTATTTTTCCAATAAGAATCTAGATTAATTTTTCCTTCCTTTATATTTGCACATTTCTGACAACTGTTATATGATCTTATTCTTCCTAGGCATTAACTGAAGCATTTGAACGGGAACTAAGAAAAAATAAAGTTCAAGAGAACATTGGACTGCGAGGGATAAGTGACGAGGAGGAGGAGGAGGAAACAGTGGGTAAAAAATCTCCAACTCTAATGCAGAAAGTAAAGTATAGAGATGACCTTTTTAAAGGGACAGGGGCCCAACAGCCTAAGCCATTTAGTTCTAGAAAAGAGTAGTTTCTTCAGACTCATGGAGTAGTCAGGTTGCTCCAATACAGGAAAAAAAAAAAATGGTTTCAAAGAGGACTAGTGTTTTTCCTTCTGTCTAAATTTTGTTTGCCCTCAAAGGCTTGCATACCAGTTTGTAAAGGGTTAAACTAGGATCTAGGTGACAAAGAGGAGGATGGGGAGACAGGATTCCAGACACTGTACCTGAGCATTCGAAACCCATATTTGCTTCCTACCCTTCAAAAGATGGTTCTCAGCTGGATGTGGAGGTGCACACCCTTAATCCCAGCACTTGGGAGACAAGCAGGAGGATAGCTGTGCTTTAAGGCCAGCCTGGTCTACATAGTGAATTCCAGGACAATTGGAACTATATACACCCTGTCTCAAAAAAAAAAAAAAAAAAACGAAACAGTGGTTCCTGAACTACTACATGGAGAACTGATGTCCTAATGCAAGAGGGCAGAAGTACAGTAGACTTAAAAAACACGCTGTGTAGTTGCTTGAGGTTTTTTTCTTTTTAGCTATTCATTTATTTTTTGCGCATTTTGCCTGCATGTGTATGTGTAATAATGTCAGGAACTGGAGTTACAGTTAGTTGTGAGCTGCCATGTGGTGCTGGGAATTATACCCAGGTCCTCTAGAAGAGCAGCCAGTGCTCTCACCCTCTGAGCCATCTTTCCAGCCCCTTGAGTTTTTTAATATACAAAAAAAAGGTTGTCAAAGAAACTAGCATGTGAAGATTTCAATAGTAGTTGTATTTAGGGTTTGGGACTATAGTTACTAAAACTGGGGGAAAAGGTCAGTTTGTGGGGAGAGAGAAAAAGATTAAGAAGGGGTTGGCTAAGGTCAGTTAGCCACTTTGTCAGTCTATCGTTTAAGGTGATAGTATAAAGCATTTTTAGGCCCCTTTCTTATTCTGTCCTTTTTCATCTGCCTCTAAGGAAAAAACACACAGAGAAGCCATTCCTAAAGGAACTCCAAAACAGAGTCAGATCCAGAAGATTTACTCCCGAAAAACTGCAGCCCCAAGTCCAAAAGGTGGTTTCCTGAAGTCAAGCAAGGCAGCTCCAAGTAAGCTCCACTGTCCTTCCTTGCAGCTGCAGCCTCTGGATGTGACTGCTGCATCCCAGGGGCTGCTGGGAATGGACATCCACCAGTTAGCTGCAGAGAGACCCTTCCAGTATTACTGCCACATGGCTGGGTTTTTCTGTAACCGGAATCAAACTCCTAAATGAGGTGCCTTATGGAGTTACCCATGGACACCAAAAGAATTGCCAGGGCACTTGCTGCTCCAGCGGGAGCCTCTCCGTTCCCTCATTCTAGTCACTTTTTGTTGTTGTTGTTGGTTGCTCTTTTCTGGGAAGTTGGTAGAAGGCAAGTGATGCTCCAAGGCAAGCAGATGGCCTGCTCAGCCTCTGTAGGATGGCAGTTGGTGCTGCAAGGAAACAAGGTCAGGTGAAATGCCAGGCTTCCAACTATATCCCATTAGGGGCCTTTTTCTTCTAACCACATGCCTACCAGGAAGTGGTGTGTCTTCCATTTTCACACACAGGAAGCATCTGCCCACAGGCCCTGAGGCTGAAGGAGTTAGGATAGATTCTTCAGGATTAGGGTTGGACCTAGTAAGTTTTTCATCCTTGGTAGGGATGCAGAAGTACCCAGGACACTCCCCAGATGGTTCTTTCCAGGACCAGCACCTGAGAGTAGCTTAGTCTAGCAGGCAAGTGGGGATGAGAGCTCTTCTAGCCAATTGGTTAGATTAACAGCATTTCTTTCCCTCATTTTCTCAGTGAAAGTAAATGAACACAGCCTTCTGCCCCTGATGCTGGAACAGTTTCCATTTCTCTATGTTTCTGACCCAACACTGACCAGAATGTGGAAGCAGCAAATAGCACAGGTTGAAAAACTCAAAAGAGAAGCACAGAGAGAAAACCGATCAAAGAAGAAACTCCAGGATGAAGTAAGGCGCTGTCCGTTTGAAGCATAAACACATGAACGCACACTGGGACAGCATGTCCTTGAACAGCATGATTAACCTTGCTTTGTGTTCACCTTAAAGATAGAAGAAGCCCTGAGAAGGCATGACCTCCTTACTGCCCTTGTCAAGAAAGAATCTGAACATAACAAGAGATTGGTATGTCAAGGACAAATTGGGCAGTGTGACTTTTCATATGTAGCAGCCAGGCAGCAGACTTCTAGCACTTGCACTGTCCTGTGAGAGTATCCAGGGCTTTCACGGGAGACTGATGATGGGCAAGATGTATGCCACATTGCACAGACACAGCCCTGAAAACACATCCACCAGTTGCTGTAGAACTTTTTATCCCTGTCATCTGGCTGCTTTTCACTTGTTTGTAGTAACAAATTAGAGATGGTATTTTCTGAGATGAGAAACTTAAGTTTTCAGACATAATGTGACTTGCCTGGCTTTCTCTGATAAGCAAAAGGCACCGTTGAGATTTTATCCCATTTCTGTCTGTACCTCCCCAGTCCATCTAGGGTTTAGGAGTTGTAGCTTAGTGTTCTTTGGTCTCCTGTCTTTTCAGATCCCAGGTTATAATTTAGATTGGAAATTATTCTTAACATTGTCCCCAGTTAGTATAGTGAAGATAATTGCAGAGGCCTCTGCCAAATGAAGAGATTTAAAAATCTTTAGTTGACTGGGCTAAGTCAAGGAAATGTTAATTTTAAAAACTCCTCTCCAAAAGTGCCTGTGGCTCTTCACTGTAGGTAAGAACATCTGACCTGACAGAGACAAAAGACAAAACCACCCTTGGCTCAGTAGTTCTCAGGGCCTGTTCACTCTGCTCCTTGGGACCTATCAGTCCTGCTCTTTAGTTGAGGTGATGAAGCTATCAAGGCTGAATAACTTGTGGGGGCTAATGGTCTTTCCTGCATGCCAGCTTCATGATGGGAGGTTGAGGGGATAGCAATGAATGCTCTAGCTTGCCTTCTGTCTTATTCCCCTCTTCCCTAGCAAGACTTCAAGGACCGAATTCATAGACAAAGGTTGACCCAATCAAAGATAAAAGAAAATCGTCAGCAAATTGTTCGTGCCCGAAAATACTATGATGATTACAGAGTTCAGTTACGTGCAAAGATGATGAGGATGAGAACCCGGGAAGAAATGGTTTGTCTACCTTACCTTTCCGTCTGTCTGTCTAGCTCTAAGGTGAACTTGGTGTTATGTTTCAAGACCAATCCAGGTTCCAAGTGCAGCCAGGAGAACTCGTTTGACCATGCTTCACTACCCAACTGTGCATCCCACCTAGTTAGTCTTCACATGCAGCTTTAATTCCCTCTCATACACATGTACTCTGAAGTACAGTGCCCTAGGGGTTCGGAAGAACACTGCAGATGACAGGAAATAAGGTATGCTTGCATGATACAGGTCATACAAGGAATAGCTATGCTGTGAGCTGTTCCTACAAGATACACTGATTGTCCCATTCTAATCAATGTTTGGGGACCCCAAATTACTGGCAGATTTCTACAGTAAAACTTGATCATGGTTAAACTGGATTAAATACAGACCAAATTTTTCTTGAGGAAGATACTGCTCTGGTTTGGGGAGGTTAAGTAACTTGCCTAAGGTAATGAACGTGTGGCTCTCAGCAATAGCCTTTTATCAAGACTTCTTCCTTTTGAAGGGAAGACAAACCCCTCGTACAGTTGTTTTACGGTGGCTGCTCTAGTCTGACCCTTCACCTTCAACTGAGTACTTACTGAGGTGCAGAGGCATTTGTTTCCATCTTGCCTTACATACAACAAATGCTTGAGAATTCTTTTCTGAAGGCAGTAAAGACCTTGGTGGGAAGTACAAGTTAAAATCCCAGCACATTACCACTCACACACTAGGATAGCTAAAATAAGAGAAGAATTGGGAAAGACATGGAAAAGATGGAGTCCCCATGCAGGGCTGGTGGGGTTGTGTGATGGTGTGAAAGTCTAGCAGGACTTCTAAAAGGCCAATACCTTTGGATGGATGGGTATGTACGTATGTATGTATAGCATACATACACACATATATCCATGTCCACATAGCAACCAAAACTAACAGCTAAAAGGAGGCCATGTCTGTCAGCTCAAGAATTTGTGAGCAAAATTTATATTCACGCAGAGTGACAGAAAGTGACACAACTATGTTTGTAAGGAATCTGACTGTCAAAGCATGCCGGTTAACTTAAGGCTGTGTCTAGAATAGGCAAACCCACAGAAAAAGAAGGGGAGAATGCATGTCTGAGGTGAGGGAAGTGTTTGAGTCTACTAAAACCTACTTACGATGTATGTACATTTTAAGAGTTAATTTCATGTATGTGAATAATGAGTAGTTATTTGAAAAGCCCTTATGAAATGCAATTAGTATGTACCTCTAATTAAGCAAAATCATCATACTCCTAAATGAAAGTGCAGTCTAGTTAATGATTAAATAACCAACAGATCTTTAAGAAACTGTTTGAAGAAGGTTTGCAAATTCAGAAGGAAAGACTTCGAGACCTAAGAAACTACGCCAAAGAGAAACGCAACGAAGAAAAGAGACAGCACAAGAATGAACTGGACTCGATGGAAAACTACTATAAGGACCAGGTGGGCTTGCTACTGCCCCCATTAGTGTGCTTGATCCCAGCACCTGTCAGGTTGGCTTAGTTCACTGCTGGTTAATATGTAAATTAGCACAGAGCTTTGCAGTACCATACCATCATTTATTTCTAAGGCAAACTTAGATGAAAAAAGCTAGTCCCAGGCAACAGTACACAATGTGTGCTGTCCTATTTCTGTTAATGTTTAAGGTGGAGTATTAATAATCGTATAGTGATGGAAGATTTCTTTTTTCTTTCTTTCCTACAGTTTTCATTGCTGGCAGACGCCATATCACAGGAGCGTCAGGAACTTAAAGCAAGAGAGAAGTCTCAGGCTCAGGTAATAATTAACAGGACAGGAATTAGGAACCACTCCTAAAAGGAAATAGAAAATGTTACTGGAGAGAATATGAGAGAGAATCAATTTCTGCTCTGGTCTCAGGGGCCTGCACAGGTGGGGTGAGTCTCGAGCTGCAGACTGACATGAGTGCTCTGTTTCAGACATTACATAAGGTGAAGCGGGAGCTGAGGGCTAAGATGGAGAAGGAGATCCAGCAACTGCAGTATCTGATAACCCAGAATGACGACGATGCTTTCTTCCGGGAACTAGAAGCAGAGCGCTTCAGAGCTCGGCTGCAGCTGGCTTCCTTCCAGTACAGTAAAAACCCTTCCCCAAGAGGCCAAATGTCCTAGGTGAAGTTTCTAGAGACCTTAATAGTATGGGAGAGGTAGACCTGGGCCATTAAAGTGCTAAACCAGAATTGTTTTTTAAGTGCTTTATCTATGTATTCATGCCAGAACTTACCATTTTTTAAAATAAAAACTATTTTTCTTAAAGCTTACTGCTTTTGAATTTATAACCTAAAACCTAAGGGAACAAAGACACATTTTATGCTAAAGCAGTTACCAAGTCTTGCCAGCCCACTCCTGAAGGTCAACAAAAGCTATTGATTGTAAAGGAAAATATCAGAACCAAGGACAGCACCCAACAGACTGTAAAGTCAATAATGGCTACTGGTTGGGGTTCAGGAACTACATAGCCTGGTGTGCTCATCTACCATGGTGGGAGCCGACTTCTGTTTCCCTAGCCTCACCTACTTCCTGACAGAAGAGGCAGTCTCCACTCAGAAATGACTGGCTTCAATCATACTGTGCAGAGGTTGGTGACAATCTGGATGTAGCAGATTCCAGCACAAACAAAAGCCATCACTTAGCCTAGCACACTGGAAAATTACAGAACTTGATGAGACGAGCAAGTCACAGTTAGGAAAGATACTTTTCCTAACTGTTGAAATTCCTGAGTGCTGGGGTTATTACCTTTTAAATAAAATCAATTTTAACTTTAAAATGGTTTGTCTAAGCGTTAATGTAAGACAACCCTTCTATGTAATTACCTAACTATCCTGTAACTAGCTCTTGGTCTTTTTGTGTTATCCTGCTGTGACTATCTGGGATGGGAACATGTCATGTCTGTCACAAATAACGGGTGAACAAAGTAGTCCTGCTTTCAAACAAAGTGGTCAAGTCAAACTGATTTGATTTATATACTATTAAATAGCAAAAATCTTTAATGTACTAGCATTTGTTTTAGATAAAGCCTATGTAAAAGCAATGTAAAGCTGAATGTGAAATAGTACAGCATGTTCATCTGCTGGAGACACATGAACAGGCATTTCTTCACCTCAGGAGACCGGCTACGAAGAAACAATTGAACCCAAATCTAATTTGCTGAACCAGTGGGCCTGTTTACAGGAACATGCTACCGAAAAGCCCTCCAGATGGGTTTTGACATGAGAGCAGTATCACTGGGGTGCAGAACCCTGAGAAAGTCTCTCCACCTGTTTTTTCCCCTTTCAAGACAGCATGATCAGGCTGGAGAGTCCTGGAGAGATAGCTTAGAGGTTAAGATCACTGGCTGCTCTTCCAGAGGACCTGAGTTCAATTCCCAGCACCCACATGGTGGCTCACGACCATCTATAATGAGATCTGGTGCCCTCTTCTGGCCTGCAGGTATACATGTAGGCAGAACATTGTATATGTAATAAATAAATCTTAAAAAAAGAGGAAAAAAAAAAAAAACAAAAAACTGCATGAGCATGCCTTCGAGATTTTTGTGGGTTTCCTGTGTCCCATAAGCCTTTCTCAAGGAACCGGAGGAAGTAGCTACACAACACTGTCTACAACCATCACACTGTTTTCCAAATGTTCCATTCTGTTGCCGCCTCTGCTGTGTAGATTCACAGATCAGTCTAGGTGAAAAATGAAGCCGCATGCATTGTTTTCTTACCTGTGTATTCAGCTGTACTTTCATCCACTATAATCCACTGTAATTCCATTCAGACAGTTGTAACTCATCTCTCCTTTTCATTTTCAAGATCTTATTGTTCAGCATCAAGGCATGCTGGTAAATGTTAGGCCATCTACCAACCACAGCTCTGCCCTCCAGACCCCAGACAGACTGGCTGTAGACAAATATATTTCCCTCCACTAAACACAGTCCAGCCTCAGAATCCCATCTCCTCACAGTTCCCAAAAGCCACTGAAAATGTCCCTCTTGCCACAGCAGAGAAACACTCACCTTCCAGCTCCACGCCCTGAAAGAAAGCAGCTTTCTTTTCATTCTAAGACTCCATGCTATCACCTGTGAAAAGCCAAGTGTTTTCAAAACAAGTAAAAACTCAATATTCTTAAAAACCTAGCTGTGTGACAGTGCAAACAGCGTTCATTTATTGCTCAACTTCGGCAATGGGCACATACATACATACTTAGTTAATTCTTAAAAACCATTTATACAGATGTTATTGATAAAGCTCATGTAACAAATGAGAGAAAGTACAAAGAATATCAAAGCTAAAACATTCTGTAATAAATACAATGAAAATGATAAAACTTTGTTTTTAAAGTCAGATTCAGAAAAGGAAGAATATTACATAAAGTGAACTAATTACATCTAGAATAAGCAACTCAGCATTTGGTACAATCATCATCCTAGTGTGAAGACATTAACCACGACACGTGGCCACTGACAGTAAGCTGCGGCTGAAAGACAAGGCGCTGTGCTGCTGACCCTGCAGGCTCTGGAAGTGCTACTGTCCAATGCACTGGAAGCTCAGAGCAGATTTAGTGTTGTCAAAGAAAGCAAATTACAGTGGATTTTAGGAGAAGAAGAGTTTGTGCTCTGGCCTGTAAATGTGGGTGGGGTGCGGGCGGAAGCCCTGTAAACATACAGGGCAGCAAACTGCCAAACAAAATGTACAGGATACATAGCACTACTTTACAACTGTATGCCTCTTACTGTATGTGGGCAATGCAAAATAACCACTGGTCAGAATTAAGTTTTCCTGATGGAAAGAAGGGGATGGTGAAACCGCACAACCAGAGGAAGGGTACGTGGAGACAGATATAAATATTCACATTAAGCACAAGGCAAGTCCAAGTTCAATGACATTGGGGTTTTTGTTTGCTTAGCACCTATTTGGAAGTAATCGGGTAACAATTTTGAAGCTGAAATCTAAATCATGTTTTTGGATGTCACGTGCTACTGCCTATTATATAGGGCGATTTTCTTTAAAGCTCTGTCAAGTCATTGTTATAAAGTTAAAAGGCACTCACAAAGTGATGGGATCTGCCTGCTTTAGACTGCATGGAAAACCACTGAAAGGAGCATCTCATTATCACTACATCCTGGTCAGTTATGGTCCTCACGCACTGGAAACGGGCTCTCGTAGCCTCCAACCCACTGTTGTAGATGAGGCTGGCCTTGACCTCCTCTTCCTCCTGCCTCTGCCTCCCCAGTGATGGGATTATAGGTGTCAGCCACCAGGCTCAGTTACAATTTCTATCAAGTGTTCATGTCCTTGTGTCCAAGCTCATCAAAATTTGCTATTCTTATTTCACATCATGTTTTAAAACAACAGTGCATTGCTTTGAACATTGAATTTTAAAATCCAATGTGATTTTAGATGGCTGCACACCATCATCCCAGAATTTTGGTTACCTTCTAGATGATGGGATGAGCCAAACCTTGAAAGCCCTATCTACCTAAAGGCTTGGAAGCCAGCAATGTGGCAGCTGCTCTCCACTCCCTTACTTCTAAACGAACCCTTCAGTTTTAGAGTAAATACAATAGACTTAGAGCCACTCTTATTTGAGGCCAGATCTATTGGCCTTGAGCTGCTCCCCTGACTCAGCCTCCCAGGAGCAGGGTCCCAGGCATGGCCAGCACACCTGACTTCATTCAGATACAACATTTTCCCTGCCCACCATGCCTACTGCCACCTCCAGCTCTTCTAAGTGAGGAAACAGCAGGGCTCTCTAAACTAAACAATCTTTAGGGCAAAATTTTCCTTTTAGGAACTTAATTAAAATATAAGTTAGATGTACTTATTAGAGACTTTGGTTTATAGAAGTAGCATATAAAAGACAAGCTGACCCAGCAAAGAATGAAAACCCCATCACATGCAGAGAAGCTATAAAAATGTAGTATTTCAATTTAAGATGAAAGTAAATCCAAAATACTTGATCCTCTTGATTCAAAAACGTGAGGTTTTTTTTTTGTTGTTGTTGTTGTTGTTTTTTTCTTTGTTTTTAAAGTTGTTTTAAAAACAGGGAAGGTAGCAAATAAACTCAGTTTAAATGGTTGTATTAGTAATTTCTAAGAAAGTCATCCTTGAAAAATATAAAACCCCACCTTAGCTAGGGTGACCCACATAATGCAAAATATAACGCTCTGCTATAGAAAAACACAACTAAACATGTAAATGGCTTGATTTCATAAAGGTAAGGATTCCTTTAGCCAATTGTTTACAAAGGTGGAATAATTCAAAATAACTTTATTTAAAATGTTTTTACAAAGAGCAAGTATAGGAGCTGTTCAAAAGCCATGTAGTCAATCAAAATGAAATGTGACTTGTACCGACTGCTGGAGTTGTCTTGCTGTGCGAAAGACGCAAGTCTGTGAAGCGATTTGGATAGATAACCTTTTATAAAAATAGTAGTCTTTAAGTGTAGAATACTGCCTAACTCTGGAGGTGGAGGGAGTCAGCATTCTTTAGGTTCAAGGTATTAATTTTTAAATAGCAGCTGAGTGTGTCCTCATGGCATAGCATAAAGACCTTTATTTTTCCTTAAAAAGGAATTTCAAAATTGTCCTTTCCCCTCACAGTGTCCTAGAATCTAAGGGGCGGGGAGGGGGCTGTCCTGTAGTCCAGCGTTCTCTGAAGCGCTGCTGAAGGAGGCCATCGGCCTGGGGAGAAGTAAGAGGTCTAGTAAGTCCTTGGTGCTCATCATTCCACAGCAAATCCACATGTTTCTTCGATGGCTGTTAGCAGCTTTTCATAGAGCTTTTCATAGCTTTCATAGGGTGGAATGTCTATTCGGTTGAAGCTGTGAATAAGCAAATCAGACTTTATCATTTGTTTAAAACTAGCCAACAGACATAGCAAGGGTGCTATTACACAGCCCCAGTGTCAGAAAGTTAGAAGCTGGTAGTCCTCTAAAGCAGAGATCATCATTTTGGGTTTGCCTACTGATTTCTGAATAATTTTCATTTTGAAGTCCTGTAAAAGAGGTTCTCATCATCTCTTTTAAAGGTCCACTGACTAGCAAGAAGCATAAATGAAAAATCAAATCTGTTTAGAACTAACACCTACCTACACTGACAGAGGAAAAGCTACAGAAATAACTCACCAAGTGTGGGCTTTTGGCAAGTTGTTCGTGCAGGCATCAATCTGGTGTATGGTGAAGAGCCGTGGGCCTGCAGCACCTGCCAGAGAAGGAATGTGGGTCAGATCACAGCAGGTGCATGCATCTATCTCCAAAGCCTCAAAATAAACTGGAACAT